TTAGGGATACGACTGCGATAAAATAAGTAGAAAGTTATAAATAAATAAATCTGCTGCGACAATAGTCCGATTATTCCGACGTTTAAGTCGATAACACGTCAGAGTAATTCGGACTACTGCGACCACTGAAACATTTCGGATCTTTCTGATTTCTCTCCTTTATTACTACCGTTTTGTCTCCTATCGTTCTAACCGAGGCAGCAGCCACCTTTTTGGTCTTGGTGTGGAGTGGTCGCCAAGCGAGGGGGATTTGGGGGTTTTAATGCAAGAATGGCACAATGCACAATCCAAACGATTCATGCTCACTGCTCTGCTTGGTATTCAGCTTTAAATGAGTGTGGATGGAAACTACATGTAGTTTTAAGTTGTAAGTATAATGTGACCGGGTGAAACGTCATGCTACATGCCTGTCCATGCAGGCTATGTCAATTTAGTAAAATGGCACTTTAAGTGGCACTTGAGCAGCCCCATCATTCTCTGACATTGTCATCATATGACCTTGGCTGTTGTGTTGAGGTAAAACCCAGAAACAAGTTCCCGATTAGTATTTCCAGAGTTACTGCCCTTTGTGTAGCATTACAAGCTTGTCTAGGCCACTAGTCTTGCTCTGTCCATCTGATTTCCTTGAAATGCAGTCGAGTTTACCACCCGCTAACGTAGTTCTGTATGAATATCAGAATTGTTGGTCCAACAGTTAAAATAGGTTGCCGACATTTATTTATTGAGTTGTCCTCCTTTGTGGTCTTGTGAGCACCACATTATATGTTGTGTATTAGTGTAATGAACCCATTGTTATTGTTATATTGCCATTTTATTCCTAAATGGAAGGTACATTCATGGATGTAAAAGGATGATTCCAGTTATAATTGGACAAAAAATATAGTTTATAACAAAATTGATATCAGGATTTTAAACATTATGTGAATAGTTCGGGAATTTGTCGATTTTTTTCCAGATAACATTCAGACTTGGTAGACTCTATCATTAACATTAACATATATACATTTGACATTTTTCTAATACATTCTGAATAGTTTGGTTAAACCTCACTTTGTTTTAACGAAAAAGACAAGTACAGGTAAACGGTTGTATATAGTGTTTCAAGCTCCAGTGCAATTTACCCATTAAGTTAACGTGTGCCTGTAAACCAGTGTCGTATCATTGGGCCTATATCGTTAAGAACACGGCTGTTATCACAGATCGTGATCACAATGACAATATGTCTATTTTTATATGTCTGTTTTCAGAGAAGTTAATATCCGTTTAGCTCTATGGTAGTGTTAATGCTATTTTGCCGATTTTCTGTAAACCAATCCTTACGATTCCAAAAAGACACTCTGGGTAGTTTCAATGAACTAGGGAGATAGGAAAAGTGCTTCCTTTTTCAGTATTTACGGGTAGCCGAATCTACTAATTATTCCTATTTATAATTTGTTCACAGTTATGACGAATAATCTTTAAGTGACGCGGAAGAGGATGTATCAGATGAAACATTCCCTTTGTGTAGGAGGAACACACATTTACATATCACGCTATAACATAAGTATACTATAAAGAAAACATATTTTACAACAAAAATTAAATGAGTTTATTTACTTATGTTAATCACTCTTGCTGGTGCGGATGTTTGCGCGTTGGGGTTTTTAATGTCGGAAGAAACCAGAGTACCTGGAGAACACGAACGTAGTCGGTCAGGTGACCAATACTGCTCACGCCCAATCAGGGAGTCGAACCCCGGCCGATTTGGTGAAAGGCGAGTGCGCTATCCACTGCGCCCGACTACTGCAACGTATTTCTTAAACCAAGTGAAACAGATGATGATTCGGAATAGCCAGTTATATATTGACTAATATTGACATTTTGTGTAAAATAGCAAGCCATATGGATCTTGATATTGTCAATCGAAATTACGTTGTAGGTATTGTTAGCCATAATGAAAACTGTCCGATGTATTGGAAAACCATTGCCATTTAGGAGGATACTTTCAAATACATATCAAGCTTTAGATGTTATGGTATGCATACAATTTGTACAACACAAAACTTTGTAATAAATAATTGTTACAAACCTTTTTTACTTGGTGAACCATCAAGATCAGGTAAAATCGTGAAAATACCCTTTTCTTTCATTGCCTCAGGAACCTTCAATTACGTGCGTTCATATTTGGATTTTCAAATTACGGGTATTTTATATCGGTTTTGTAGTTATGTCGATAGTAATAACAAATGAAATAAAACGTTTGTATGATTTTGTCCTTGTTATTAGTTATATAAGCAGTCCTGCTTCCACATTTCAAATCGCGTAGAATCTTCGAACACCATTGATACTGATGTATATTTGTTAAATGAGACATGGATATACATTTTGAAGTTTGGGCCTCTGCTTTCATACATTCTGGATCTTGTATTAATATTGTACCATGTAAAGTTTTATATAAAAATTTGTGTGATTACTATGTAAGTGATTATTTAAATTGGGATATATTCTTTAAATGACCCTTACGAATTTTAAGAATCACAATAATCAAATATATTCTGAAATAAATGTTCATCCTATTCTACTTTTACATGTGACTTATTGTGTGATAGTGAGGGTCACAATGTGTGGAGTGTTTTACGACATTCTACTTTAATTGGTTTCACGTGTCATATTTGTAAACTTACAACCTGTATAGTGATGTGTCAGTGTGTTTAACGCACAATTGTACCTTTCGTGTATATGTATGTGTAGCGAAACTGGGTCATCGGCAGCTCAACTGGCGTCCGTCTAGAGTTCGGATAGCTGCGATAACGTAGCTTTCTGACGACGAGAATTTTTTTTTATATATTGCGTCGTCAGAGCTCCGGCCGGGACAGAGGATGCCGGATATTAATATTAGTACTAGAGTTCGGAGGGTCCAGGGATGGGATCCCGGTCTGGTCCACAGGGACTTGACACGTTCCAATGACTTGTAAATAATAAGTGATCTGGGGGTCGGACCATGGGGTGTTTTTTTCATTCTGTGTCATAGGAACGTGTCAAGTCCCTGTGGTCTGGCCGTGCATTTGTCCTTCTCTTGTTACGGTGGTGCCTGTGACCAACCCTTGTTTCAAGTATTGGTTGTACGCTTGACAAGGGGATACCCGAACCTGGGTTGTAAATAGTTGTGTCTTCGGGGGCGAAGACTTAGAAAAAGAGGGAGGAATGTAGCGGAACTGGACTGGATAGATCGTCGGCGACCAGGTAGCTCAATTGGTAGCGCGTCCATCTAAATTTGGGAGGGTCCCCGGTCTGGCCGTGCATTTTCAGCATTGGTATACTTGACGGTTAAACTTGAGGGGAAGTAACTCGTGTACATCTGGGTCATTCATTTTCGTAGGGGTTAACGAAATCACGAATTTGGTTTTACGGAAGTTGGTAGCGTCCCATACTGAAATTACCTCTGTACAATTTTGATATAAACGGCAACCCATACAATATATGGGATGGAAACGTACCATGCACATACATCATCCGAAATACCATCAAAAATTGAATTTATTGTGAGCTGTCTAACTCTTCAATACTAGCCATAATGTTTGTATAAATAGAAATCTCTTATCTTTTAAAAATATATTTCTTTGTTTTAAACATTGATTTTGGTATGGAATCGTAAAACGATATCACTAAAAGATGAAAAAAACTTTTAGAATTGTTTCGTAACGTCATATGAAATGGGAACTCATTTGATCCTTATTCGTCTGAACATAAATCATTGTGACTGTGGAGAAGAAGAGGGGCATATAACCAGGGGTGGGGACAAATATGACCGGATGGAATTCGGAAATGATATAATCAGTCGCCGGCCACTGTTGATTATATAAGCGGATCAAGGGAAGGGATCTAGGGGATCCAGACCCCCTCTTTTTAGCCGTCGAAATTTGATTTCGGATAAAAAGTATGTTTTAACGACGAAGAAAACAGTTCCTCGCTTGTATCCAGGTTCCGGAGACTGATTAACTTATTCGTATAGGCTTGATCCGTGTCTAATGTTAAAAGAACAAATGATCGCAGAGGAGATCTTAAGAAACATGTTTAAATATATTTGCAAAACACACAAAACTCAAACACAAAAATTCTACAATGTAATACAATACAATTCAATACAATGTTTTTTTTTATGATAGTGACATAATGCAAACATCATACAGGCGCGTAGGTACCATGTAAGCCAATAAGCCCGGGCTTGCACATTATTTTGACAAGTATAGGTTTTCATGACGGTTTTTTTTCTTGCTGATACTATAAAGTGGAGTTTGAGTTTTGAATATATAGTATACATAGGTAAAAACCAGACAATGTATGTATGGAGGGTGTACAAAGCAGTACCGACGGTTAATCTTCAGAATTACACTGGATCCACGAAAAACAGACATCAGGACGTGGGAAATGGCTCCTGAGACGTTCTAGAAAACAAAATTTTCCATTTGGGGACGAATTTTACTTTGCCATACCACTCATTCAGAAATCGATTATGGAGTGTGCCATGGTTGTAAGTCCTTAATATTAGTTTTGTTGATTGTTCAAGCAGCGCTCCATATTCACAAATTCTACATATTATCAGAGACGTATATATTACAATATATACGTCTCTGATATTATACATTTGTTTTATGTACATCATGGATCATCAATGGGAATTAAAATCATAGACGTATCATGATATCTAAATACTACTAATGTTTTATACTATACTGCCGGGCTGTATACGTATCTGGTAACATATGAAATTGGCCAGGAGTTGGCACAGAATGACAAATGGTGGAGCTTTTTGAAGGAGTGAACAAATCATCCTCTTTCAAAAAAAAACCCAAATAAGTACAATCTTTTACAAAATTTCGAATCGCCGTATCCCCATTCTGATTTAGCGATATTTGTAATTTGGCGGGAATATCAGTAGAAGAACCGATGACTTCCGAACGACATAAAATTCAAACGTACAGACGATGTTGACGTTTAGCGAGTATTTACTTCCGGTAAATTTGACGAGGAAATTTTTACCTCGTGAGAGGCCAAAGAAAAAGACGGTAATAGTGATGTTTTATTCTTTACAATTGTTCGTCGATTGAATTGTGAGTTATCATATTTTGTCTTGACTATATAGACGCTAAAATACATAACCATATTGTTTACTATTGCCAAACCAAAACGATGATGCAATGCTCAGCCACATCATTGCTCCTGAATCGTGTCCGAAATATGAAAGTAAGAACTGTCATAATAACATATTTGCAACTCTGAACATAACACTCCTTGTTGGCATGCTAGTGTTTACCTTGATATTTCAGTCAACACAACGCACGAATTGAACTAAAATCTAAAATCAGCATGTCTTTCGACTTTTAACCAGACAAAAACAAAACAACTATTTTCTTACATTAATAATCATTCGGAAAAATACATTCATTGTATCAGTTGAATTATACTTCCAAAACACTTATTTTCTTATGACCTTCTTTGTTGTTTGCATTATGTTCCTATACAGTCTTTTTTTAATTCATTTGTTTGATATGCATATCCAAAATCCTTTTACACCTATAATTAATGTAAATAATTATTATTTAGCTCTATTTTCAATTTGTTACAGTTGAAGAACAGACCAACAATGTAAACATGTGCTGATCTTGTTAGTGAAGCGGGAGCGATAGAAAGAGAGTATGGATGCAGAGAGTGGGGGGTCAGCCCCCATGGATGTTGGAGGAGACCATGCACTTGCTGACCTGCACGGTCTTGACTTTGAGTTTGTCACCTCTACAGAGAATGAGAATATCTGGTGTGATCAATGCAAGGTTCTCAAACAGGTATAAATACAGCATTGACTGAATTTAAATCCAAATGATCCAAGGGTTTCCATGACACCATGCATGCAGACTTCAAAGCTAGTCAACTTTGTTGTGTTACTGCATAATTCCTTGATATAAATCAGAGGATGAAACTAGTCTACTGGTATCATCCAAAAAGTGGCACATCATATAGAGCCTTTAAACATAGGGAATTACAATTGTATTGCATTGTCATGCCAGGGTTATAGACATGTAATGAAACTGTGTCTTTCAGACAGGTTTATGATGAAACTGAATTAATCATAATAATGCAATATATGTACAATGTATGCAGGGGGGATTCAAGATATTAGCTCAGGGCTAATAGACACTAATAATCCACTAGCCTGAAATAAAGTTCTGCTAGCCTTACAACTACCCAGGTCACCTGTCAGGGGTCAGTCAACACTATCACTAGTCCGCTGAGTCCTGGACTAGTAGATTTCAGCAAGGACTAGTGAATCACCTAACCTAACTGGTCCTTTGGACTTGTGAAAATATGATTATAAAATAAGAATATTTCTTTTTGAAATTTTGAAAACTGGCTAAAAATAAGATATATTGCATGATGATTGTCAAAATATTCCTAAAACTATATCATATTTTTATGGCAGTTGTTATTTTAAGTCTCCTACAGTAAATTACTTTTGATGATTTTGTGCTGTAGATCGCAATATTTTTCCTTATCAAGAAATCTTGGACTAGTCACATTGACTAGTAAATAATCTATTCATTCAGTCCTATGGACTACCAAGCAAATAAAGCTAGTGTCTAACCCTGCCTGTTATATTAATATCTGCAATATGACAATGAAAAATATACACTTCATTCCTCAAGTAATGGCCTTAAAAAGGTTATCATGTTGTAGTTTCAGTAAAATTATCAGGTTATGATTATAATTAATGAGCAAGGAACAATCGGTTTTATTGGCTCACCTGGTCCGAAGGACCATGGTGAGCTTATGCCAGACCGTGGCGTCTGTCGTCGTCCGTCAACAATTTCTGTAAACGACTTCTTCTACTTAACCACTGATTGGAATTTAACTAAATTGGCTGGAAGCATCCCTAGGTGGTGGGGATTCAAAATTGTACAAATGGTGGGGCTGACCCCCAGGGGGCTTAGGGACAGGGCTAAAAGGGGGCAATTTGGCTTTATTGCTTTAAGCGACTTCTTCTCTGGAACAAAGGGATGGATATCAACCATATTTGCCTGGAAGCATCTCTAGGTGGTGGGGATTCAAAATTGTACAAATGGTGGGGCTGATCCCCAGGAGACTGAGGGGCGGGGCTAAAAGTGGGCAATTTGGCTTTATTGCTTTAAGCGACTTCTTCTCTGGAACTAAGAGATGGATATCAACCATATTTGACTGGAAGCATCCCTAGGTGGTGGGGATTCAAAATTGTACAAATGGTGGGGCTGAGGGGCGGGGCCAAAAGGGGGCAATTTGGCTATATTGCTACAAACGACTTCTGTAGAACTATGTACTGGATATCAATCATATTTAATCAAAAGCATTCATGGGAGGCAGGGATTCAAAATTGTACAAATGGTGGGGCTGACTCCCCAGGGGGCTGAGGGGCGGGGCCAAAAAGGGTTATTTGGCTATATTGCTTTAAGCGACATCTTCTCTGGAACTAAGAGACAGATATCAACCATATTTGACTGGAAGCATCCCTAGGTGGTGGAGATTCAAAATTGTACAAATGGTGAGGCTGACCCCCAGGGGGCTGAGGGACGGGGCTATTTTTGCTTCCAGGATGGCTCTAGGGTCTGGCCCCACCCTTATAGGCATAGTCCCTGGGCCATAACTTTGAAACAGTTGAGATCCCCACCCCAAAACTATATATACAATTGTTGCATTGCATAAAGAGACGAATGCAGTCATGATATTAGAATAGACCCTGGGGTCTGACCGACCCCTAGGGACCTAGTTTCTTAGTCACAGCTTGGAAACAGTTGAGATCACCACCCTATAACCATATATACAATTGCTGAGTATAAAGAGATGAATGCACATATGCTTCCAGGATGGCCTTGGGGACTACCCCACCCTTGGATACTTAACCCTGGGCCATAATTTCGAAATGGTCAAGATCCCCACCCCAAAACTATATATACAATTGTTGCATGGCATAAAGAGACGAATGTAGTTATGATATTAGAATTGACCCCAGGGTCTGCTTCACCCTTGCAGACTTAACCCCTGTGTCATAACTTTGAAAGGGTTGAGATCCCCACCCCAAAACTATATATACAAATGCTGGGTAAAAAGAGACAAATGCAGTCATGATATTAGAATTGATCCTGGTGTCTAGCCAAAACCCTAGTTTCTGAGTCACAGCTTGGAAACAGTTTAGATCTCCACCCCATAACCATACGTAAAATTGCTGGACATGAAAAATCTAATACAGATATGCTACAAGGATTGGCCTTGGGGTTTGGCATATTCCCTTGGATCTCATTTGGAGAATATTTTGCCATGATTGCTTACATATCCAGGTGAGCGATACAGGCGCTCTGGGCCTCTTGATATATTCTTAAGGGTTTTATATATGGTTTTTCAATGCTCATTATACAACTTCGTTTTTAGGAACTCCAAAAACTGCAACAAGAACATTCCCTGAATTATAGCACTTTGAAGAAGAAGGTCATCTCTACTGAGTAAGTCAATATATATGTTTGTTCATTTAATCATCAAGTTTACATTTGGTACAATGATTTAGTAAAGTAATATGTTGAATGCTGTTCTAAGTAAAGGTCAAGGTCATCTTTTAGATTGTAATTTCTGGTAGGCTGCTACATTTGACAAACTAGATCTAGCAGCTTCATATCTTTATGGATCTTGTATAGACTTCATAGAATAGTCAAGCGTGAGAATACAGTAATCAAGGTAAAGGTCACTGTTGCTATTCCTAGGCGCTGTTGACCAGTCATATTCTGTAACAAACTGCGGTTGTATATGTAAGGACATTTGTTTCATGAGCAACACCTTCCTATAGTATCTGTTCTGCTGGGTAAATCAAGTATTTGTATTTGTTAACGTGGAACAAGCGTCGGTTGTTGATCGGGGAAAAGAAAGACCGAGAGAATGGATTACAAAACTATGATGATGTTTATTCACAATGAAAAACATATAAGCATTAAATATATCCCATGCACCCTCACAATCTCACACACTCTCTCCAACAAAGTAATAAATTGTCTATGTAGCTTCACACGGCCACGACGATGATAAGTACCAAAGTTCCCAGGAACCACAACAAAGTTCCCATAACAGTCACTGACTCATGACCCAGCTCAATCCAGAGCCAATATCTTCAAGCAGTACCATGCTTGTATACACCTTGCTAGGTAAACGCACTAGTGTCCATGACACGACAGCACACAATGGTTGATTGGTTCTATGAAGAACAGTGGCTAATAAAGTCGCCGACCTTGGCCTCCATGATGATCTCCAGACATAGCCCCTTCGCTGACCTAGACACTGGTGAAAGATAACCCTCTTGGTCGGTCCTGATGCTCAAGTAGCAATATGGGTGGGAACACCTGCCTGGTCCTGACTCACTTGTTGAGACTGCTAACCAGTCATGCGACAAACATAGTTTACCTTATCACTCAAGTTTTCATACTTTTCTAACGCATAGCCTAAGTCTTGAATAATAATCCAATGTACCCTATTTAATTAACGATAATGTAAACTATCCAATTTATACACGAAATAACACAAAAACGTACAATCCGCAAAATGATACCTCAAGGCTTCCATACATGTTCCACCCGAGCGCGTACCACTACACTGGAACAATAGAACTGGGCTTCCATAGATTTATGAATAGGTAAATCATATGAAACAAACTAGATAATTTCATATACAGCAATCAAGTATATTCATATAGTCAATATATGATGCTAATACATCCACAACATATGAAATCTAGCATAAAAATAACATAAATACAACACATTCCTACCTTAACGCTAAACAATGGTCACGGCTGACTGGAGCGCACAGATACCTAGATTGTTTGACCCGATAATAAAACGGTACAATACAATAATACCGACTAAAACAGAACAGAGAAAGAGTGAAAGTACACTTACCACAGTCTGTATTCTGTGCCTGTTCCACATGCCGTAATATTTCGATAATACATACCAGGTACACAAGCCACAGAAACAATGTCTGTAAACAGCTCACCCCGTGCACGCCTACTCGTGACGCATTTCCGCCAAACAATGTCTGACTATTAAGGTTACTTACCCTGGTTATAAATGACAACATATACACTAAACTAAAAAATAAACTCCGTACAAAATACTAAATACAATATATCAACCACAATATACATGCTTGCGTGACAGTATTTATGTAGAGAGCCACAGGGCAAGTCACTATGACATTGTTATTATCTATTCTACAAGTTTTCTGTACTATAGGTCTTATTTACTATTTGCTACATTTTCTTTTTGTTTCAGCTTGTTGATCAAGAAGTACAAAGCAAAGTGTGAAGATATCCTTTTTATCCAAAAAGTCATAAAATGCAGATGCTTTTATTTCAGGCTTAAATTATACATATTTCCTATACTGTTCTTTATGTAAGCTTATCTATTTACCTACAGTATATCCTACAAGTCTTTTACTTTAAAAATGTGATGTCTGTTCTATGGTGTTTATAACCTATGTCGGAAGATAAGTAAATATAATCTCATAACTTTGACAAAAATCTCACAAGTTACCAAGATTTTTCTATGTTGAACTTGCCTTTGCATGGTATTTGATGTTGTATGGATGAAACATGACTGTCCCTAACATACTATGCTTTTGAAATTAGTCATCAGGGACCTTCTTCAGAATTGTCAAAGAGTGTAATATTTTATCAGTAACTGATCAAAGGGAGGTAAATCTTAACTATCAATTTTATATCAATTATCAATTATATCAGTCCTGTGTCATCTGGCCATTATTAGAACTGTCCAAACCAGTAGGTATGTTTAGATTGCACCACATGAAAGCCTTGAGTCTGATGATGTTAGTCTGTGTTATGACCAGTCATAAAGTTTTCCACATTTTTGAATTTCTGAAAAGTGCTTGTGAAAATATTATCAAAGTTGGCACATGTCTGGAGAAGAAGGTATTTTTTTTTGCACTCAGTATTGGCTCAGTACAATGCATATCATATGGTAAATTAGTGGATGAGCATATGTGCAATTGTTATTGAGCATACATTTTAATTATATAATAACTATATATACAATTCTTGTTTGTCATGTCAGAATATTTGGTGCTTGAAGGAGGTCAAATGAATTCTTAGAAAGCCAAAAGGGGGTAGATTATGTGAAACACTCAAATCACCTTCTGAGGTGTGTCAAGCTGTCACAAACTTGGAATATTGTTTTGAATAAGAAATATAAAAATAAGGTTGATTTTGAAAATTTCGGAAAAATTGATTATGTATTTCCTTGACCAATATCTACATCATGACGCACAAAGCAAGACAGTGGAAGACACGAGTAAGAAGTTGGAGCAAGTACAAAGGTATGTTATTATAATGGGGTGTGTGTATAAAGTGATAAGGACTACATAGTAGTAGTTACATAATACGGAGGGGGGAGGGGATTTTGGGCGGTTTATATGAGAAATTGTCAGGACTATATTGGTAATAGTTATGGAAGAACAGGGTTTTGGAATAGCTTGTTGGAGTTGTTGGTCCAGAATTGTTAGTGAAGAGAGCTTCTGTCAAAAGAAACTGTACATTTATTTCTGGCATCATTTTTATACTGTTATGTATTACCAGAATATGTCAATTTCTGGTTGGTCATACTTTCAAGGTAATGACTTGGACACAATGGTGCCATAACAAATAATTGTTCCATCCGAGTCTCATTAATCAATCAATTGATTATTCAGTCTCAGATGTCCCACTATCCAGCCAATGGAATGTATTTATCAATTCAGAACTGTTCCAGTTATCCAGGAATTTTACAATCCATATTAGCTAAAGACAAAGGTTATTGGATTAACATGGCTCCACTCTTTCTAGACAGAAACTTGATAAAAATATCAATATACATATATTTTTATTCATAATGATTCCTGCATTCAGTGTCCTGTGAGAAAATTAACTGATACATAACATGTGTCAAAACTATGCACTTATTGTGGTGGAAAATCGTTACATGGCGGTAACTGTAAAAAAAATCAAATTTGATTTTCATACGATCCTGGTGAAAGGGCCCATGACATGGCCATGATTCTACTTGTTTTGTAGGGAGTCCAGCACACTCAATGTTCAACTGACCAGTTCACTGCAGCAAATTGAACCACTGAAAAAGGTAAACTCAATGGCCATCAAACTACACAGAGATATATACTGTATTATAAGACTCTTTCATGTCCAGGGGTGTAGGATAGGGAAATTCCACCTGAGGGTTTTGCCTGATTTGAAAATCCTGATGGTGGAATTTCCCTATTCTTTACCCTTGGGCATGGAAGAGTATTTTTCTCTCATTCTAACTACCAGAATAATCTCAGAAACCATGAAAAAGCGTTTGGACTGGCTACCATTTTGAAAATATTAACTTTTCCCCTTAGCTGTTAAGACGAAAACGAATCTGTCAAAGAAATTAAGTATAGTACCACATATTTGCAAACAGAGTATGCACAGAAAAAGTAATCTCATCTTTCTTACGTGTACAGTCAATATTTCGTAGTAGGTTTTAATTTCATCACGTCGCCTTTTCCGCTTTGCTGCATCAGAGTTTTCCACATTTGTGACATCACGTCATTGTTGAGCCATTGTGAAATGGGGTGTAATGTAGAAATTTCCTACATCCCTTTCTTACCCTGGACAGCTCTATCTTACACACTCGGATATGAGGGAATTTTTTTTCTTCAGGGCAGTACACTTCCACTAACCTGACATCTAATGCCAGTAGATATTATATCAAGGCTAATAACCAAAGTCCATTCAGTTGATGTACTCAGTTTCTTGTAGCCTGGTTACCTACTAACACTATTGATGAAAACGTAGTCTGGTTACCTACTAACACTATTGATGAAAACAAAATTACTGCTAGTTTTCTTGGTATATAAATAACAAGAAGGTGATTCCACTGAAATTGTTCCAATTGATATTAAGTGAATATCTCTAATAACAAACAAAACCTTGTCTGTATTTTCTATTGGTGTGAAGTTGCCTTATCTACCTTTAGACATGTTATACTTTCGGAGTTGTACATTTCAAGTTACTTTTCACTTCTTATTTTACAATTAACTTCATGGAAGAGGTTGGATGCACATTTTTTGAAAATCAATAACCCATAAAATATTATAAACTTGAATAGCAACTATAACTATAATATGAATAATAAGTATTGGTAGACAGATAGGGATTTAACCCCACCAGCCATAACATCTTATACATGTACCTCCTTCATATTTGACAAGAAGCATACATATTTGGTGTACATTATATATTTCTGTACCCTTATTTTTCTACAGGCGAAAAATGCCCTTGAGCTTGAGTTGAGACAGAAAGTGAAGGAGATTCAAACGTTACAGGACAAACTGACCGCATCTGTGGTAAGTATACTTTTACAATAATAGTGGACTGTTCATGGTAACCATATATATTTACATTAATTATTGACAATACACTGTCTGTATCCATGGTAACTACTTATATACATTAATTATTGACAACACACTGTCTGTATCCATGGTAACTACTTATATACATTAATTATTGACAACACACTGTCTGTATCCATGGTAACTACTTATATACATTAATTATTGACAACACACTGTCTGTATCCATGGTAACTACTTATATACATTAATTATTGACAATACACTGTCTGTATCCATGGTAACTACTTATATACATTAATTATTGACAACACACTGTCTTTATCCATGGTAACTACTTATATACATTAATTATTGACAACACACTGTCTGTATCCATGGTAACTACTTATATACATTAATTATTGACAACACACTGTCTGTATCCATGGTAACTACTTATATACATTAATTATTGACAACACACTGTCTGTATCCATGGTAACTACTTATATACATTAATTATTGACAATACACTGTCTGTATCCATGGTAACTACTTATATACATTAATTATTGACAACACACTGTCTTTATCCATGGTAACTACTTATATACATTAATTATTGACAACACACTGTCTGTATCCATGGTAACTACTTATATACATTAATTATTGACAACACACTGTCTGTATCCATGGTAACTACTTATATACATTAATTATTGACAACACACTGTCTGTATCCATGGTAACTACTTATATACATTAATTATTGACAACACACTGTCTGTATCCATGGTAACTACTTATATACATTAATTATTGACAATACACTGTCTGTATCCATGGTAACTACTTATATACATTAATTATTGATAATACACTGTCTGTATCCATGGTAACTACTTATATACATTAATTATTGACAACACACTGTCTTTATCCATGGTAACTACTTATATACATTAATTATTGACAATACACTGTCTGTATCCATACTAACTACTTATATACATTAATTATTGACAACACACTGTCTTTATCCATGGTAACTACTTATATACATTAATTATTGACAATACACTGTCTGTATCCATGGTAACTACTTATATACATAAATTATTGACAACACACTGTCTTTACCCATGGTAACTACTTATATACATTAATTATTGACAACACACTGTCTTTATCCATGGTGACTACTTATATACATTAATTATTGACAACACACTGTCTTTATCTATGGTAACTACTTATATACATTAATTATTGACAATACACTGTATGTATCCATACTAACTACTTATATACATTAATTATTGACAACACACTGTCTGGATCCATGGTAACTACTTATATACATTAATTATTGCCAATACACTGTCTGTATCCATGGTAACTACTTATATACATAAATTGTATGGACCTAATGGGTACTGACTCTGTTCTGTAGAGTAAGGTAAGTTGAATTATTAGTATTTCATGACAAGCTGAAATTTTGTCAAATTATGGTATGTTCTTAAACATTCTGTAACAAACACATGTGATACAAGTAAACATTCTGTATATTACATGTGTATGTGTTTGTAAATCACACTTTTGATAGAACATTTTGATCCTTACTATGGACAGATACTTCGGGTTTTTTTTCGCCATCAGGGTTGTCTTTCTGAATTCAGCATATATATATACCGTACAACTTCCTTTTTGCTCAAATTCAGTTAATTCATTGCAGCCCTTTCTTTGACATTTTACACTTATTTTGTCATATAAGTGTCTGTATATACATCAATGGACTTTGTAATGATTTTTCTCTCACATGAAAAATTTGAAAGGTAAGTAAATATTATGCTGTATGATGTACTGTAGGGAACAGAACTTTATCTGTAAATAAACTTTATCTGTAAATAAACTTTATCTTTAAATAAACTTTATCTGTAAATAAACTTTATCTTTAAATAAACTTTATCTGTAAATAATCTTTATCTTTAAATAAACTTTATCCGTAAATAATCTTGATCTTTAAATAAACCTTATCTGTAAATAAACTTTCTCTGTAAATAAACTTTCACGATTTCACACCAACTATTGAATAAAAAATTCAGCAAATCATTTGTACAGAGTCATACAATATCACGACTGACTACTGGCTTACCATGAAAGTTGGTTCAAGGGAAATAGTTTAAAACATTTAACTTGAATGAAAATACTAATGTGAAGGATTATCATATTTAACCTGCAATAGGCCCATATGCCTGGTAATAATCCCATCCACATATATTGCCCTTAGTTAATGGAAATGCAAGTATTATTTTCCCTGTTATAGTAGTGATGTTTATATGTTGTTTCAGGCTGTCACGAAACAGTATGAGTCCCTGGCCAAATCATCGACTAGTGAGAAAGATAAGACAGAGGAGGAAAGGAAAACCAACTCTAAACGACTAAAGGAACTTCAGGCCAGGTACGTGCCCCCCCCCCCCTGTATTCACTAAAACTTTCCGCTGCAAAAAAAGTTGGAAAATAACAATATTAGCCCATTTCACTATCTGGGTTCCAAAGTGTTCACGTTTTTCAAATTTTTGGCAAAATAAATGTTCATGTCCTTAAATGTATAGTCCCAAATAGTGTTTGATTCATAGGATACATACTTTAGCATACGTAGTACCGGTAGATTTTAGGTCTCGTATAGGGACAACTCTCTTCTAGGTCCCAAAAGGGTCCCGAAAAGTATGGATCCCAAATGGTCCCAAAAACTTTGTTGTTTGAATATTCTGTTGAATAATTGCCAAACAAGTCTAAGTAATTCCATGAATTTGTCAATCAACTTGTCGTTGAGAAGAGGTTTGCTGAATTATGTGCCATTATGATAACTACGAAAACAATATCCAGTCTGTGACAGGGAACACGGGAAGACGGACCTGAAAAGATGTATACGGAAACCTGATATAACTGACATCTCACCTTACTGACACCTGACTTCAAAACATCCTGTTATATCACAAATGGTTTAACCCTTTCACCCCTATGTAACTTTAGTAGACTCTACCATGCATTGATATGGATGAGTCCATTATGGTTTACAGTGGTGAAAAGTTTAGTGTTCCATGCTTCACTTTTCTTTGGTTTATCAGACACACTCTCTTGTCTGACCAAATAGTGTAGATGTTAGTAAAGACATGTACAGGTCTCAATGTAGAAATATGGAAACAGTTTTTTGTTGATTCTAACTTTTTTATTTTTTATTAATAAATATTTAAATATAATTTAAGAATTATTTCACAGATTTCATATAAACATACAATTGTCACACAGAAATTTACAGTACAAGAAATGGATCAGTTTTATATTTAAAGTTTTGGTCCAATAAATGTATACAGACAGATCCTGCTATATTCAATAATAAGCAAAGTTCTCTGATGTGAAACTTGTTAAAATTAGAGTTACTAAGACATACATGATTAAAGGACTAGCACCAATATATACGTATGTAAGGTCATTGGCTGGAAATTAAAAAGGACATAGTAGGCCATTCAAACCTTCGGATAGTGGAGTTTTACCCTCCTGAAATATTTTATTTAAAAGAAAAAATGTTTGTTTTCTAATGAACCAAATTGGTGACCTGCACTATGCCTACCAGTAAATGTTTTCTTTTTGTGTTGCAGCTTAAACAAACAAGAGCAACTGATGTCTAAACTAAAAGGTAAGTTATTTAACTTGATATGCCATGAAACATTGAAAAATTTACAGGTAATCTTTTTGAAAAATTTAGCTGAATAACAGAATTTTAAATTATAGGATTGATAAACTATTAATGTGATCGTTTTATATTTGCACAAAGTCAGGTTTGGTTTAAATGTGTTTTGTGTCTCTTGTTGCTGAAGAAGTTTTTGTAAAGGGGCATAACTCTGTCAAAACCAAAGTTATCAATATTAAGTGGGATCTTACCGGTATTAGTTCACTTCAGAAAGGAAATATGTATTATCTTGTCTACTGTTTGATTTAAAAAATGATTGTATTTATCATAGATGGTTTGAATTCATACACTTATTTATAAAAAATATAACGGTATTTGAGATACCAAAAGTACTTTTAACCAATTTTCTGTGATTTTTCAAAATGTCTGGGTCAGTTTACTGCATCACTGACCCCAGTTGTTTTAAATTGCAACTAAACACAAATTAAAGGTTTTGCCCTTATATCGGGACTTAATACCACTTATTGAAAGGATGTTAAAGAAGCTGACATGTCCTAGCTGCAGGGATTTAAAAAGCATCCTTCACCAATTAACTCTCGATACAGGGATTTCGGGGTTGAATTCCTGATATAAAGAAACTGGATGATATTAATATAATAACTAGGTAAAAATGAGTAAGAAAAAGACATTTTGAAGTTTTACATTCTATTAATATGAGAGAAAAAACAATTGGTCTGGGAAGCTATCATCTCTAAATTGATTTTGTGAGGGAATGGTGCAAGCATTAAGTTGTAGAAAATATTGATATTTTTTTTTTAGACAAGTGGAAGTAAAAAAAATCTATATAGCCTACCAATGAGTCTGTTGAATTACATCATTTTACCATCAGATTTTCGAAACTTTATTTTCCTGACTTCGTTTTCAGTTAAAAGTTTAGCTTTTATGCTGGAATGAAAAGTGAAATCTCAACAACAGAGGCACGGATAGTAGTATCAATATTACCACAAAATACCCCGGACTATTCTCTAACAGGATAGTAGTATTAATATTACCACAAAATACCCCGGACTATTCTCTAACACGATAGTAGTATTAATATTACAACAAGAAACCCTGGACTGTTCTCTAACAGGATAGTAATATTAATATTACCACAAAATACCCCGGACTATTCTCTAACAGAATAGTAGTATTAATATTACCACAAAATACCACAGACTATTCTCTAACACGATAGTAGTATTAATATTACCACAAGAAACCCTGGACTATTCAGGATAGTAATATTAATATTATCACAAAATACCCCGGACTATTCTCTAACAGAATAGTAGTATTAATATTACCACAAAATACCACAGACTATTCTCTAACAGGATAGTAGTATTAATATTACCACAAAATACCACGGAATATTCTCTAACAGGATAGTAGTATAAATATTACCACAAAATACCCCGGACTATTCTCTAACAAGATAGTAGTATTAATATTACCACAAAATACCCTGGACTATTATCTTACAGGATAGTAGTATTAATATTACCACAAAATACCACGGACTAACCTCTAACAGGATATCAAGCTTGATTAAAATTGCATGTCAAACCAAGTCATAAAAATATTTTGAAAAAAAAAAATTAACATAGAATCCCATGGGAAAATGATGTAATATGAAAGACTGACAGCTCATCACTGTATTTGTATCTAAAAAGATGAAATGGTGAAAACAATAGTTAGTGGAAAGGAATGAAAATGAAATGTGTAAAAGATAAAAAAAATCAATGACCTACTTTGTGAGGAATCTATGCAGTGCAGGACCTCCCAAAATATGTTCTAGTGCCGGGTGCACAGCTTTGAGCCCTGTGCTTAAGATGTATCTTTTAGTCACATAGAGTGCATCACTGCATTATGACAAAGTACCAACTATGTATTGATACACTACTCAGTGTCATTAGTAAAAATACATATGTATTTAGTATCAGTTAATTAGTGAAAGACATCTCCAGCACACACACAGGCATACACACATAGGGAAATATTAGACAGGTGGCATAGGTCTAGAAGTTACTAGTTAGCGCCTGATACGACAGCTCCTTCGAATTCGTCAAAATGGTATTAATGCATAGGCTAATTGTATTGATTGTATAAAACTGTATATCTACATGTATGTACTGTAAAGCACTTTAGAGTGGCTTAGTTTAGCTAGATAGGACGCTATATCAAATGTATATTATTATCATTATTATAAAGAAGGGATTTGCTTTAAAAAGGATTTTCTTTAAGAAATTCATCTCGATGATAATTGATGTATATATATACAGTATATATATAAAGTATCAACTCTTCAGAACATACTTCGCTTTATTCTGAAAACTTGAAAGCATTTAGAGTTTATTTAAGCAGTTACACTAGAAAATGACAATTTATACTTTGTCTCTACTCATTGGTCTTATTTGATCAGGATGATGAAATGTAGTTACACGATATACACCAGGTGAGCGATGCAGGCCCATTGGGCCTCTTCTTTGTTTTAATTTCCCTGTGGCAGGATCAGTTAAGTTGTTGCTCAAACCTCCATTGTAATTAAACAATACTCTTAATTATACTAAGTGCAGGAGTGGGACAGTCTGAAACAATAAGGCCCATTATACCAGTCACTGCCAGCAACACATACAGATACTTGATCCATTGCTTTGCGAGATGTTAAAAATCAACATTTGTGGGAATTTTGTTTTGACTTTTGATATATAGGATATAAATGAGAGGTGGGCGCAGCACCCAAAAGTTTAGGCCAGGGGAATACTCTGCAGTTGGGTGAACTCACTGCTCCCAACACTGGTACCCCTGAAACACGACACCCAACACTGGTACCCCTGAAACACGACTCCCAACTCTGGTAACCCTGAAACACGACTCCCAAAACTGGTACCCCTGAAACACGACTCCCAACACTGGTACCCCTGAAACACGACACCCAACACTGGTACCCCTGAAACATGACACCCAACACTGGTACCCCTGAAACATGACTCCCAACACTGGTACCCCTAAAACACGGCTCCCAACACTGGTACCCCTGAAACACGACTCCCAACTCTGGTACCCCTGAAACACGACACCCAACACTCGTACCCCTGAAACACGAATCCCAACTCTGGTGCCCCTGAAACACGACTCCCAACACTGGTACCCCTGAAACATGACTCCCAACACTGGTACCCCTGAAACACAACTCCCAACACTGGTAGCCCTGAAACACGACACCCAACACTGGTACCCCTGAAACACGGCTCCCAACACTGGTTCCCCTGAAACACGACTCCCAACACTGGTACCCCTGAAACACGACTCCCAGCACTGGTACCCCTGAAACACGACTCCCAACACAGGTACCCCTGAAAAAGATGCTTTCCAGGAATAAATATAATTTAAGCCTAAAAATAATTATTCACTATAGCAAACATATGTTGCACTGATTTGTTTTGTTGTGGTTATATATTTCAAAAAGAATATTTGCATTAAATGTCAATAATTTACATTACAGATCAGTTCGTCTCTTTGTTTGAATATTGCATTGTTGAATATCCTTTATCAAATCTAGTGTTACATTATGAGGTTGTTTAGATACATGAAGTGATATATATTAAACAACATATGTTACCTAATATATCCAATCTGCAATTATAAGTGTAGCATCTGATTTGCCTTCAGTAGGTATTTCCATATTATTTAGTATATGATTGCATTTTACTTCAGATAAAATCTGTTAGTTATTTCTTTTCATATCATGTTATTATAATTTGCATATTAGATAAATTAGAAATAAGTTGTTTTCATTTATAGCACATAGTTTGCATATCTCTGGAGTTATGTTCAATTAATCGTTTCTGTTTATAGATTTAATATATGCATATTTTACTAAATTGGAACTATTCTGGAAAAAAGACACATGCATATATACAATGTTAAAATAGCATATAACCTTAATATCAAAATTGGCTGTTGCCAAATTTTCATTTCAAGATCAAAGCGTAGTTTTGCCTTTGTCGATATTGTGTAATTATGTAGTATTTACAGAACTGATTTCGTGAAGAAATACAGTATCTATTTAATTAACTTTTGGTCATTTGGACTTGTTCTAATTAAGGCTGTTTCATTATCCTGGTGCCTGAAAACTCATTTTTAGCTCACCTGGCCCTCTTCTCAATAACCAAAAGGCCCAAGGTCCTGAAATTGGGCCTGTAGCATGCTGGAATGAAGGACTACCAAGTTTGTTCAATTGAATGACCTTGACCCACTTGCAAGGTCATAGGGGTCAAATATTGTAAAATCTTCAAACCACTACTCAATAACCAAAAGGATCAGGGTACTGAAATTGGGCTTGTAGCATGCTAGGATGAAGGACTACCAAGTTTGTTCAATTGAATGACCTTGACCCACTTTCAACATAATGTCCTTGTTCGACATTCATGGTCACAGGTTCTTATGAATCAAACACTGTGCCTGTAGCTATATTTTAGTCCACTTTTAAGATTACAAGTGTGAGATTAAAACCATGTGAGTGATGCAGGCCAATTGGGCCTCTTGTTTATTAACATGTTTTTAGGTCACCTGAGCTTTGCTCAAGTGACCTATTTCAATAACTTTCCGTCTGTCGTCGTCCGTCGTGCGTAAACTTTTACATTATCAACTTCTTCTCAAGAACCAGTGGATGGAAATTTTTCAAACTTGGTCAGAATCATCCTTGATAGATGAGGCTACCAAATTGTAAAATTGGGATTCCTACCCCAACCCTAGGGGCCAGGGCGGGGCCCAAAAGGGAAAATTAACCAATATTTCAAAAATCTTCTTCTCCAGACTCAGAGGTATAACAGTCATTTTCATGGATGGAAAGGTCATCAGGGGCTTTGTTTAAATTGTAAATTTCAGGACCCCCTTGTAAAATTGGGATTCCTACCCCAACACTAGGGGCCAGGGCGGGGCCCAAAAGGGAAAATTAACCAATATTTCAAAAATCTTCTTCTCCAGACTCAGAGGTATTACAGTCATTTTCTCTGCATGGATGGAAAGATCATCAGGGGCTTTATTTAAATTGTAAATTTCAGGACCCCCAGGCTATCAGTTCTCCCTTGGGGAGGGGGTAAAGTTTACTATAGTTTATATAGCGAAGCAACACTTTTGGGTATATTTTGACAATTTTCTGTTGGAAATTATTTTTACTTGGTCAGAATCATCCTTGGGGGAGGAAGATGGTTTTAAATTGTAAAATTGGGATTCCTACTCCAACCCTAAGGGCCAGGGCGGGGCCCAAAAGGGAAAATTATTACCAATATTTCAAAAATCTTCTTCTCCAGACTCAGAGGTATTACAGTCATTTTCTCTGCATGGATGGAAAGATCATCAGGGGCTTTATTTAAATTGTAAATTTCAGGACTCCCAGGCTATCAGTTCTCCCTTGGGGAGGGGGTAAAGTTTACTATAGTTTATATAGCGAAGCAACACTTTTGGGTATATTTTGACAATTTTCTGTTGGAAATTATTTTTACTTGGTCAGAATCATCCTTGGAGGAGGAAGATGGTTTTAAATTGTAAAATTGGGATTCCTACTCCAACCCTAAGGGCCAGGGCGGGGCCCAAAAGGGAAAATTATTACCAATATTTCAAAAATCTTCTTCTCCAGACTCAGAGGTATTACAGTCATTTTCTCTGCATGGATGGAAAGATCATCAGGGGCTTTATTTAAATTGTAAATTTCAGGACCCCCGAGCTATCCGTTCTCCCTTGGGGAGGGGGGAAAGTTTACTATAGTTTATATAGCGAAACAACACTTTTGGGTATATTTTGACAATTTTCTGTTGGAAATTATTTTTACTTGGTCAGAATCATCCTTGGGGGAGGAAGATGGTTTTAAATTGTAAAATTGGGATTCCTACTCCAACCCTAAGGGCCAGGGCGGGGCCCAAAAGGGAAAATTATTACCAATATTTCAAAAATCTTCTTCTCCAGACTCAGAGGTATTACAGTCATTTTCTCTGCATGGATGGAAAGATCATCAGGGTCTTTATTTAAATTGTAAATTTCAGGACCCCCGAGCTATCCGTTCTCCCTTGGGGAGGGGGTAAAGTTTACTATAGTTTATATAGCGAAGCAACACTTTTGGGTATATTTTGACAATTTTCTGTTGGAAATTATTTTTACTTGGTCAGAATCATCTTTGGTGGATGACGGTATCAAATTATAAACTTGGAATTCCTGCCACATCCCCAGGGGTTAGAGCGGGGCCCCAAAGGGAACATTTACAAATATTTTAAAATTCTTATCCTTTGATGACATGACAAGTATTGTATTTCACTTAGTTTACATGCTGATTTCCACATCACATCTAAACAATAAAATAAAGCTACCAGTACCTATGATATAACTCAGGTGACCGCTAAGGCCCTTGGGCCTCTTGTTGTTAAAAAGAAATGGATTATTGACTTCAGTATTTTAGCCTGCACACATACAGAACAGATTACACGAAGTGCCAAGTGAGCTAATGCCGTGGCGCGGCGTCCGTCGTCCGTCCGTCCGTCCGTCTGACGTCCGGCGTCAATATTTTACTTTTAACGACTTCTTCTTAATAACCGAAAGACCTAGGGTGTCGATATTTGGCCAGAAGCAAACTTGGATGAAGGGCTACAAAGTTTGTTAAAATAAATGACCTTCACCTATTTTCAAGGTCACAGGGGTCAAATATGTTAAAAACTTTAAACATCTTCTTCTCAATAACCATACTGCCCAGGGAGATGATATTTGGCCAGTACCATGCTTGGGTGAGGGCTACCAAGTTTGTTCAAATGAATGACGTTCAATTATATTCAAGGTCACAGGGGTCAATTGTCTTAAAAAACCTTTAAACAACTTCTTCTGAATAACCAAAATGCACAGGGTGATGCTATTTGGCCAGTAGCATGCTGAGATCAAGGGCTACAAAGTTTGTTCAAATGAATGACCTTCACCCATATTTAAGGTCACAGGGGTCAAATATGTTAAAAACTTTAAACATCTTCTTCTCAATACCCATACTGCCCAGGGAGATGATATTTGGCCAGGACCATGCTTGGGTGAGGGCTACCAAGTTTGTTCAAACGAATGACGTTCAATTATATTCAAGGTCACAGGGGTCAATTGTCTTAAAAAACCTTTAAACAACTTCTTCTGAATAACCAAAATGCCCAGGGGTATGATAATTAGTCAGTAGCATATGCTGGGATCAAGGACTACTATGTTTGTTAAAGTGAATGACTTTGACTTATATTCAAGGTCACAGGGGTCAAATTTGTTTAAAATCTTTGAACAACCGCTTATGAATAACCATGGGTCCCAGGATATTTATACTTCGCAAGTTGCATCCTGAGATGAAAGGCTATACAATGTGTTCAACATAATGACTTTGTTAGACTTTCAATCACAGGGGTGAAATGTTTAAAAAAATATTAACAGGGTCTTTTGAATGAATTTTAATCATAAATACTGATATTATGCCTGTAGCTTTATTTTAGATCACTTTTAAGGTTACAAGTGTGAGATTTATACCAGGTGAGCGATGCAGGCCCATTGGGCCTCTTGTTTAAATGTTACCTTACGCAGAAAAAAGTCGAAGTGGGTTGCCACGATGGTAACTACGGTAGCCGTGGTTGCTAAGACAATATGGTTTTAGTGAATCTGCTTCGATATATGAGTTAATTTAGAAAATATGCAGTGATCAACACTATTTCTTTCCTATTATGGGTTTTAGATTTTAAATATAGCAATATGAGAAGCCTTTCAAACTTTTCTATTAATTTACAACGGTTGTCATGTATGCGCATTGACACGCCTCATAGAGTGACGTGGTCAGAACAAAGCCGCCATTGTTGATGTTACCGCCACAGAAATTCGAAGGTGCATCCATGGAATAAGAAGTTTGTCAGCATTTTTTTGTTGTATAATTAGACATAATGAATCCCGAATATGTTCCATGTATCCAGATGGTGAATGATCCAAGCTTGGTGTCATTGGACTGTTATCTGGCTGAAGCCTGAACGGCGCCATATTTGAAACAAATATCAATCGCCGAGCCTTTTTTCACTGCGTATACGCTAATTTCTACGCAGTCAGAGTTTACTAAGCTGAAGAAGGGAGGCATGTAAATATAATAATATGCCTTTGTAAACGCTATCCCACAAAGACATAAGTTTGCTGAAGCATCAGGAAAACTTAATTGTAACCACAGATTTTGTCCTTAGAAAATATAATGTGTGATATCGATGTTTATGTTAAATTGCTCTTAGTATTCTGTGAAAAAAATTGAACTTCATTATATTGTACTGTTTCCACACTTGCTTGATGATATAAAATTACTCAATATACAATTTTCACATTCATCTTTTTATAACATGATTATTTATACAGTTTTTCACTTTCATCCGTCATTATCAAATAACTCTCTTTTTCACTCATCAGTACATGTGGAATGAAGGTTTACACAGTTTTTACACTCGTTTGTTCATATAAAATCACTTTATATATAGTTTCACACTCATCTGTTGATATAAAATTACTTTATATACAGTTTCACACTCATCTGTTGATATAAAATCACTAATTACTGTTTTCACATTCAATTGTTCATTTAAAATTACTCTGTGTGTAGTTTTCACGCTCGCCTGTTTGTTTTTTTTGCTTTCGCTTTATTCCTTTTATTTTGAATGAATCTATGTGTGGCACAGCCAATGAAGATGACAACGAGGCCGATGTTGATCCCTATGATAATCATTCCCTCGGTGAAATAGCTCGGCATGTTATACACTGTGACATTTACTGTAGAGTTATATGCCCTTGATTTAGTCGTACAGACAAAGTCACCACTGTCGGACAGAACTAGACCCTCCAGTTTCAGGGTACCCTCGTCTTCCTTAATCTGTGTCCTGTTCAAGTCGTTCACATTTGTCCCGTTCTCATTCAGCCACACGATTGTGTCAGTTTGATTGGCTCCATCTGGGAGTGAACAGCTTACCTCTCCTGATTTGCCTACCTCTATTGCGATTTTCTCCGGAGGATCTAAGACCAGAACTTCTGAGTCCTCACTAACCACAGTTGTCATGGCGACAGTCAATAAAACGAGGCATATGGTGATGCCTTGTGCTATTTTCCTTAAACACGTCATGTTTCGGTGAGAATTCTCTGTCCCACTGTAAGTTAATGTTGATAGCTCAAATGGTCATCACAGCTTCTGTGTTGTCCTGAACCTAAAAACAGACAAAGCCATCAGATTAGGTATATGTAGCATCAGTAGCCGATCATTATACTAATTACAATCACAACTATACAACATGATAGATTTCATATAAAAAGTGATAAGTAATAACCATCACTGGACATACCAAGGATTTTACACAACTTATACTGCAGGGCCCAGTTGTTTGAGGATCTCTTACACAACTTATACAGCAGGGCCCAGTTGTTTGAGGATCTCTTACACAACTTATACAGCAGGGCCCAGTTGTTTGAGGATCTGTTAACAACTATAATTTATACTTGGAGGGGGCTTTGCTGTAAAAACCAATACTTTATACTCCAGACTGGTCTGATTGTGTTGTTTTGTCAATAAAGCCAAGTGTGCCTGGATGTCACAAATTTTTCAAGTTGTGAAAATGATTTTATGATATGTGATGACATGTCAGGCTTTAAAAACCATGTCTATATTCGTATCTTATTAATATTTAATAACATTCAAGTTCCAATTATTTTTTTAGTGTCAAAACACCCTTAATCAAATAACCTACTGACCAAAGTTTTACCTAGAGTAAAGCATGGTGGCAGGCAGGCTTTTGGTGGGACACCTTACAAACTGGGTCAATGTGAAATTCAAATAGTGTCAACCAAATCTTTTCTTCTCTTATAAAAAGAAGGTGTCATGTTTCAAGGTATACTTGCTTTGCGTGCGTGGATCTGACGACATCACCTTTCAGAGAGTCATAAGACATAAATATATATTACCTAACTGTACATGTTGAGCTGTTATCACTGCCCCTACACTGCTCTATTAAGGGTGTCGCCAGTCATACTTGAGAAATTCACTCATCGTAATGTTTTGTTCTGTTTGAGAGAGTTTATAATATTCGCTATTGGTTTCTTTTGGTCAACTAAACAACAATGCCACAAACAAAGAGGTGCTTTGAACACCAAAAATAATTAAACGCTGCTATACAAAGCCATATATGCTAATAGGGCATTACCAATGCAAAATATCAAAATGACATGAAATTACTTTATTAATGGGGAATTCAACTTAGGATTTGGATAAAGAAACCATATTATACAAGATAGTAGGTATGTTGTTCAAAGAAAAATATGCCGAAATTAATAAAGGCACCACACTCTACAACTACTCATGCTTGGCTGTGCCTTATTACATCAGATAGCTAGGGTATTACTATTTGTATATACATGAATATAGATTTCCCTTTACAATTGATGGTCGTTGTTTTCATGGTTATTGTATTAATCTCATTCTGAATACATTTTTTTTCAATTGTTAATTTTGACATTTTATTATACATTTAGATTTTCTTCACTATAATTTGTTTAAAGTGTTAAAGTAATATATCATTTTGCAAATTGTCTCAGTTTTAATGGAGTAATGAACTATATTACATTAGTCAGAATCATAAAGACATGTATTTCATTACCTATCATAGAATCTATATATGTATTCCTTTAAAGGTCTTACCAACCTGATCTGTCGCCAGCTATTTCAATTCGAGAACCCCACATCTTCAATCTAAACTTTCTATAAACAATCATGAATTTAAAATTACTGATCAATATGTAAGTCTAAATGTAACTTACACCACTATATTAGTCGTAAGTTATTTAACACTTAGATTCAATAAAAGGAGCTGATTTCCACTACAGCTTACCTTGTAAAAGTCAGTCCAGGTACTCAATTCAATTAAAAATAGAATATACTTCCACTGTCTAAAGTTCAGGAGCTAATCTGGTTGGTGCATTCTGTCTAGGTATGTGTAGATAAGGCTATCAGCGGACTGAGATATCAGACGCTGTGCATTGTACAGCCTGAAGAGGTGTAAGTTACATGATTCTGATCAGGGTAATGTCCTCTATCTTTTATAGTCTTAAATAAGTTTGAGGATTTGTTTTAGTCCTACATAATTTTGATGATTTGTTTTAGTCCTACATAAGTTTGATGACTTGTTTAAGTCCTACATAATTTTGATGACTTGTTTTAGTCCTACATAATTTTGATGACATCTTTTAGCCCTACATAAGTTTGATGATTTGTTTTAGTCCTACATAAGTTTGATGACATCTTTCAGTCCTACATAAGTTTGAGGATTTGTTTTAGTCCTACATAAGTTTGATGACTTGTTTTAGTCCTACATAAGTTTGATGACATCTTTTAGTCCTAAATAAGTTTGATGATTTGTTTTAGTCCTACATAAGTTTGATGACATCTTTTAGTCCTACATAAGTTTGATGACATCTTTTAGTCCTACATAAGTTTGATGATTTGTTTTAGTCCTACATAAGTTTGATGACTTGTTTTAGTCCTACATAAGTTTGATGACTTGTTTTAGTCCTACATAAGTTTGATGACATCTTTCAGTCCTATATAAGTTACGATGACATCTTTTAGTCCTACATAAGTTTGAGGACTTGTTTTCGTCCTATATAAGTTACGATGACATCTTTTAGTCCTAAATAAGTTTTGATGACATCCAGATAGTGTCAGGTGAAAGGAATGGTCTACATAATGTGTGTTTTAATCCATCAAAATGTTTGATAATGATATACATAATAATATACAACATTTATATAGTGCCTTATATAATTTGCAAAATTGATCTAAAACGCTTTAAAAAACTTGTCACAAGCTTATGGGAGTAAGCCTTATCAGGCGCAAACTAAAAGTATCAATCCTTGATGAGCTTTGCCTAGTGCAAGTAAACAAATATTTATACTGTACCACTATGTATGCACCCACCCACCTGTAGAAGGTAGGTTGTGCAACGTTTCAAGGCTACAGTGCCTTCAGTAGTCTCATATCACTCCCCGAGTAGTGTAACTGTGCAAAAGTCATAAATCCTCGTGAAGTCACCTGAACAATATCCCAGATTCTATCATGTGATGTAGTAATCGGGAATAAGATCTGTTTTTAATTGTCAAGTTAAGGGGTTAATTTTTTGTACTACAGAAGTAAGACACGTATATAGATTACCTACCTGCAGAATGTCAGCCCCAGAATAAAACGCTTTAATACCACTACGTATATATCAACAGGGCTTATTTTGGTAGCTGATCTAGAGTGTTTACAGTCTGTGGGTAAATAATAATGCCTGATCCCTAATGGTAAAATCTGTATCTGTCTGATTTACAGTCTGTGGGTAAATAACATATGCCTGATCCCTAATGATAAAATCATTATCTGTCTGAGTTCATGCTTAGCTTGCCACATTCAACACAGAGTCTGTTCAAGACTGTTTCATTTAAATAAAGTTTAATCAGTTTTAATAAAGACTGGAATTTGAAACTGTAATTTTGTAATGTTGCTGATATTTGGACAATATATGTGATATAAGGGTAATGTCAATTATTTTCCTATTTTCAGGGTTAGACACTAACTTTTTTTGCTTGGTAGTCCACAGGACTAGTTAAGATTTCCTGATAGTGAAACATCGTGATCTATAGCACGAAACATCAAAAGTAATTGACTATAGGGGACTTAAAATAACTTACTGCCATAAAAATATGGTGAAGTTTTAGGAAAATTTTGACAGTTATCATGCAATATATCTTATTTTAAGCTATTTTCTAAATTTTAAAAAGAAATATTCTTATTTTATAATTTTGTTTTTCACAAGTCCAAAGGACCAGTTGGGTTAGGTGATTCACTAGTCTTTGCTGAAATCTACTAGTCCAGGACTAGCGGACTAGTGTTAGTATCGACCCATGATTTTTACCACTTGTGTATTTAAATTTTGTTTGAAATACTGTATAGATTCAGATGGTGTATTTTATCTTCTGTTCTTCTATTTCACTTTGTAATTTTGACTAACAATGGCTGATTCAGGTGTTATAGAAGTAAACAGTGTTTAATTCAACAGGTCCATGTTCTGATAAAAATGACCTGCAACAAGTTAACATTGAACTACAACGTTTAACCTTTAAACTGCAACCAACATTACACTTCAACATTGAACCATCTCAACTGTATACAATAACCACCGAACTGGATGTCAAGTCATCAACGTCAAGTTACACTCTCCATTCACCCCTGAAATTTCATATTGGACTTTCCCAACCTTTGAATTGGAAGAATTCAAATGTGTCTTCAGGGGTGAATGGTATCATTTAACTGCTACATTGATACCATTGAAATTATAAAACTGTGATATCTATACTAAAAGTAACTTCAGTATACCAAAGTGTCAACAAATCATAATTAGAACTCAAAATTGATAAAATAAAGACAAAATATGGCCAAAGGAAAGATTTACATGGAGACTCTTAAAAAAGTAGGAGAACAAGACCAGGCATTCCAGAAGGGTAAGCGTCTTTTGCTTTATAGATGACACCCGCCATGTAAATCTAAATTGAATCCAAGTAGTGTCGCACCCTCATAGAAATTGGATAGTGACTCTTGAGAAGTGAATGAACTGCACCATGTAAACAACAGAAGTAGGGGATGTATGGACGTTGTGATCAAGAAAGAGAAAGTTCATGATCCAAAAATTGAAATTGTTCCACTTATCGTACAGCTAAGTGGTATGCCGCTTATCATCATACAGCTTAGTAGCATACATTGAACTGTATTGTAAGCATGCAAACATATGATCTATCACGTAGCTAATAAGACTTTTCTTTAAAGTTTCTGGTGTTTCCAGAAAACAAAATGATAATGATAAGAAATACTCTTTTTCTGGTGGTGTAATTAGATCACACTGATGGCATACAATTGATTTCAGTTCAGAAATCCAAAACAGACGGCCAAACAAGTTGAACCTAAAACATACCTTAACTGTATAAAGAGGACTTAATTTTGTATGAACAGAGGGTTCAGTCCCCCTGGAGGCAAAGGGACGAGGCCCAATAGGAAAAGTAGAGGTAAATCTTGAACATCCTTCTTCTGTTCAGATTGAGGATTTTTTACTCAATATTTGATCTAGAACATCCATGAATGACAAAGGGAACACATATTTGTTTATATAACAACAATAATAATAATAATTTGAGGTTCTTATCAACCTCTTTATCACAACCTGGTTCATAGGTTGTCTCAAAGCAGTTCACAAATTATTATCCGTTGTTTGGGCCTTTGCAACCAGCCAATATCTTTCTCAACTCTCTGGGGAGCATACAGCCAGTGCTACCATTTGTGCGCCCATCGCTAGCTTTTAACAATTGTAGCACTGCCCAACAATGAACTCATTTACAGCTGAGTAGACTGAAACAAGCCGAGTAAAGTATCGTGTTCAAAGATACAACACAGTGCTGTGACGTGACTCGAACCCACAACCCTTCGGTCACGACCCTGGCGTCCTACCCCTAGACAACTATGCCTATATTCGAGGGTGCAGCCCCCTTGGGCAGCTAGAGAAGTGGGCCTCAATACTCAATAGGGGAAGTTGATGTAAATCACAAACCTTCTCCATCTGAAGGAATGAAGAAAATCAAACTTAATGTGGTCAATTAAACTTGTACACGTTTTTTCAATTAATTAACTCCACATTAGACCCATTGCAGGGTCATTCAAAGACTATAGGCAATAGTCCTTGTAGCTTTTGAAATGTTCAAACATTAGGCTTTGAGCAGTCTTCATGATTGCTTAAAGAAAAAATAACATCAAGTCTAGATTGAATTATAGGCATTGGGCAATATTATTTTGTTCCTGAATTATGTATTTCAGGAGGTTTTAGCAGGAGACATATAAATGTAAATGTAAATTCCGAGTGCAGTGTTATTGATAATCACACATACATTGCCGAGTGAAACAACAACAAACTTCTGTATTACAACCAAGACTGTTACAGAACAGTGTTCTGTTAAAAGTATTGGTATAACCACTAGATATATACGGAGACAGTACAGGAACATGATATATACGGAGACAGTACAGGAACATGATATATACAGAGACAGTACAGGAACTAGATATATACGGAGACAGTACAGGAACTAGATATATACAGAGACAGTACAGGAACTAGATATATACGACGGAGACAGTACAGGAACTAGATATATATACGGAGACAGTACAGGAACGTGTGCTATTATTTAATTAGTGCATAAATTAACTGTGTACTAACAGAAGTACACAGATGAGGTACAGAGGCTGGATTGGCCTACTTTTCAGGATATGATACTTGTATTAGAAGTTTGAGGCTTTATTTTACTTCAAGCTAATACATGTACAATAACAAAAGCTAGACAGGACTTTTTATTACTCCATATCTTCTTTGTAATAATATTTATATTACTGTTGCAGCTATCACATTAAGGTTTTGACTAATGACATAGGATATCTAAATGAAAAGTTGTTTAAGTGCTTAAAAAACCCGTCTGAAGTATGGTTTGTAAAGCTTGAAATAGAGTAAAAGTTGAATTTATATTGTAAACAAATTTATGGAAATTGCTACCCATTGCTGTTAATTAATATAAGCTAACATATGCTTTGTCATGGTCTATTCTATAAACAATGCACAACATTAGCTGTCAAGCTGACAGTGCTTGCTGATGTATGCATGCATTGCTTATGGTGAACTACATGCTGTTAGTTAAGCTGATCGGCTATTCTGACATGACAGCATGCAGATGTACGTGCTTTTATGTATAGGTTCATATAATTGTTATGGAACACAGGTTGTGTACATTGAAACCCTACGACCATTACATGACCTGATACATGTACAAAAGGTTTAAAGATCTAAATTTTCAATTAAAATACATGTACTTCAATGTTGTCTGAATCTGCATAAACAATGAAATAATAGCCTGTGTGTGTAAAATCTGATACCTTGATAAAGATCGGATAAAAGCCACAATCTCATTCCGAATAACAATATATGTTTACAAGCTGACACAGATGCCACCATTAACAGGTACAATATATATACCAGTATTTATATGTGATCTGATGATGAACCAGGGTTTTTGCTAGGTGTTTATAGGGTCCGGTACAGGGACCCATTCTCAATTGAAAAATGACCCTGCATTTTCCCAATGTCAGTCTTTATTTTCCCAATTGGATTAAAAGCATGTTTATACAAGTTTCCAGTCGTTATATGTGCAACATTCAAAGTATGACTGTCCATGAAGGAGCATTTAAAATACATAAATAACAAAATAATCAAAATCACTGAAAAATTATTTATTGCTATACATTTTACTGTAGGAAAAAGCTAAAGGAAAACTTTTTGCTAATCACATTACAGTCTTTTTTCCCAAAACTATGATTTTTTCCCAAACATTTATGTTCTGGCTTGGGGAGGGGGTAAAGTTGACTTTAATTTATATAGGGAAATAACACGTTTGGGTATATTTTGTCGATTTTCAGCAGGAGATCATTCAAACTTGGTTGGAATGATTATAATTCTAGATGGCAATTAGATGGTAAGATGGCAATTAGATGGTATGAGAAAATAAGAGCCTGCCCCATCCCTTGGGGCTGGAGGGGTGGGGCCCAAAGTGGGATAATGGTTAAAGGTTAAAAAAATCTTCATCAGACTCAGATGTTTTACTGTTCATGGTTAGAAAGATCATTACCTAAATTATCATTACCTAAATTATAAATTTCATTATCCCCCAGGTCATCTGCCCTCCCTTGGGGAGAGGGTATACTTCTCAATAGCAAAATAATTGATTTGAATAGTTTTTTAAGTTCTTATTCTTTGGTGACATGACAAGTAATGTATTTCACTTTGTTTACATGTTGTTTTCCACATTTTGTACATCGATGAACAATGAAATTGAGCTATCAGTACCTATAATATAACTCAGGTGACCCCTAAGGCCCTTGGGCCTCTTGTTAAGTAACCTAGACATTTTGTAATCTCAGTGTGTCGCGATCATCCTTCAAAGTTTAATAAGAACAATCGTGGAATGAGATACGTCATTTTCTGTGTATTTCCGATTGACTTATTGTAACCCAACTAATAGAACTAGTGTTTTAGGAACTTACGTGTTATGGAATCTTATAATATCAAAATTTAAACTTTAGTTTAACAAGAACCAAACTTTTAACTAACATACAATGTATAAGTAATGTTTCAGTAATGGAAATATGAAATTGAAACTAAAATTTAACAAGAACCTGAAATGGAGAGAGGAAAAAAAAAATGAGAGTGATACAGGCCCTAAGTCCTTTTATTTGGCTTCAATTTACCACCAGGCTAACATTTATATTTGACTGGTGTGCATGATTTTGGCTTTCTGTTAAACATGACCAGCTGATAATAGAATATCGGGTAACCTACATATGACAGCTAGTGCTTGATACACAAGGAATGTAAGTATGTCACATGACACAGAAAATTGATGTTCAATGTCTGTTGTTTCATTTTTATTTTTTGAAAAATTAAAAGATGTTTACATGTTTCTATTGTTAAAAGGACAGTAGATAATCATAAATTCTCCCACGTCACGACTTGTCATTAAATTACGACAATATAAAGATAGGTGTCTGTTTAATAGTAATAGGGCTGTAAAGTCTAATATCCCCTCACCTAAATTAATATAATCAATCCAAATTTAAATATTTCATGAATACACTTGAAGATAAATATAAATTAATTTGTCAACCTCTAAGTGATCTTACCTGCTAAGTACACCCGAGGTTTGATAGGAGTATGTAGTGGATATGTGACTCCCTATCTCTTGGCACTGTCTTTCTGAAGTACTGATATGTACATACTAGACACCAACAATATAGTATGGTATACAGTAAGATAGGAACTGGACTGATCTGAGTTATCATGGCATGCTGTAACCTACGGCCATCAATATATATATATCTAGTTCATTATTATTGTATCGGTACACAGTATGGATATTTGTTTAAACAAATTTTCCACCGGATTGGAAAAATGTGTCATTATATAGGTAAACCTAAATGGGAATTTTCTAAATTATTCTAAAGACAGATCGTTAGCCAATTATTATCTAAAAACTAAAGCATCCTTATTTATGAAAAAATATTATTATTTTAACTCATTCACCCCTGAAGACACATTTGAACTCTTCCAATTCAGAGGATGGAATAGTTCATTATGCAATTCCAGGAGTGAATGAGTTATATAATGCTATTGCAAGGAGATTTTAAGAAAAAAATAGCAACTATTCAAATTTCTCATCTAGACCAAACTTACGTCCAAAACTGCCACAGAAAAGTCAGGTGAATACCTGTTCCCACATTATTTTTGATAGCATACTAGATGCAGTAACATATATATAGTGTTTACATACCAGACACCAAATATATGGCATGATATACAGACTGTTCACATAAGATACTCAATAAGGGATATAATGTATTCTAAACATTTTCGTCAGTTTGGTAAATATCTTATAATAATTATCTGTTGTAAATAAAGGCATAAAACCCAAACAATTACACTTACCGGTTAGTCGTATTTAAGATTATTCCATATTTTAGCATCTGCCAAGTATGTCCCAAAACACCTGTGATAAAAAGCAGATAGATCCCCACTCAATTATTACACAGGAGATGATGTACTGCAAAATCCAGCAAATTAAACTACAGAAATTTTCTTCAATAAACTAAACGAGCTATGTATATATAGGTTGTCATGTGATTGGAAAGGTCATTGTCTGTGTGTTTACTTACAGCTCCTGGTTTAACTAGACTCCAGGTCCCGACCTAGATGTCATCCCCCTTGTGTTCAGTATCTTATCAGTCATAAGCATTGGTTATGGCTCCCAGTAGTCCCACTATAGGATTGGACTGATACACAAATGTAATACACCATCCCGAGGATGGGACAGGATAATTAAACTTTTATCTATTGGTGAAATATATTTAATTTGTACTGGTTACACAATTACATCTCACATTTGCACAGGGCTTGAAAAAACATGAAAAATTGTTTTATATTAAAAAAGAATAAGATGCAAACCTTTATAAAACTAAACGTTCAGTTTTAATGGTGAATTTCTTAAAAAAAAAATGAATAAAAAAAAACCTGCAATCTAGCCTATTAAAAATGAACTGATTTTGAAATCAATATAGAAAAACATTTGTTAACGATTTACATATTTCTCAGATTTTCTTTTGTTCCTTTTACTGGCAAAAAGAATCTCTAAATCTTTTGTTAGAAATTGATATAGCCTTTATTGTGCTTTTTTTCTTTATTGGAATACTTGTATCTCAAAAACTTATGTCTTTCAATTTGTTTTGGTTTCTCTTCAATTCCTGTTGTTGTCTTTTTACAATTCCCTTTTATTTGAGCATAACTGAAGATATGTAAAATTTCCTTAGGATTTTGCTCACTCAAATATTGTTTTTCTGTGGAAAAATTAATTCAGGTAAACATTAAAAAAGAGACCAAATTTGTTGTTATTTGTAAAGATTCAGGGACTGTTGTTTTTAGACCAAAGTCGTCGTACGCATGGAATATTCAGAGAAAGTGTATTTCTCCTGCTTAGACAACTCCAACAACCCAGGTGGAGTATAAAATGGTCCGGGGTGGATGTTGCGATATCAGTGCTGTATTATTCAAGTGATGTGGCACTTTAAATGATAACGTTTGAAGCATGGTCCCACTACAAACAGAACACAATACATCTCCAGCACACATACAGGCAACACACATATGGAGATATTAGCCAGGTGGCATAGGACTAGTAGTTCGCGCCTTATAAGGCAGCTCCTGTGAATTCCTCAAAATTGTATTGATTAATGTATATGCTAATTGTGTTGATTGTATAAATTGTATATCTATGTACTGTAAAGTGCTTTAGAGTGGCTTATTTTAGCTATAAAGGGCACTATATAAAATATTGTATAATATTTATTATTATTGTGACAATTGTACTTATATTTTGTAGATGAGAACAAGACACTGAAAGCAGAGCATCTGGAGACAGTGAAAAAACAGAGGAAACTACAACACAGACTGAAAGTCTCCGTGGTATGTTATCATAGTCTCCGTGGTATGTTGTCATAGTCTCCGTGGTATGCTGTAAAAGTCTCCTTGGTATGTTGTCAAGGTATCTGTGGTATGTTGTCGGAGTCTCCGTGGTATGTTGTCAAAGTGTCCATGGTATGTTGTCAGAGTCTCTGTGGTATGTTGTCAAAGTCTCCGTGGTATGTTGTCAGAGTCTCTGTGGTAGGTTGTCAAGGCATCTGTGGTATGTTGTCATAGTCTATGTGGTATGTTGTCATAGTCTCCGTGGTATGTTTTCAAAGTCGCTGTGGTATGTTGTCAGAGTCTATGTGGTATGTTGTCATAGTCTCCGTGGTATGCTGTAAAAGTCTCCTTGGTATGTTGTCAAGGTATCTGTGGTATGTTGTCGGAGTCTCCGTGGTATGTTGTCAAAGTGTCCATGGTATGTTGTCAGAGTCTCTGTGGTAGGTTGTCAAGGTCTCTGTGGTATGTTGTCATAGTCTCCGTGGCATGTTGTCAAAGTATCTGTGGTATGTTGTCAGAGTCTCTGTGGTATGTTGTCAAAGTCTCTTTGGTATGTTGTCAGAGTCTATGTGGTATGTTCTCATAGTCTCCGTGGTATGTTGTCAAAGTATCTGTGGTATGTTGTCAGAGTATATGTGGTATGTTGTCACAGTCTCCGTGGTATGTTGTCAAAGTCTTTGTGGTATGTTGTCTAAGTCTCTGTGGTATGTTGTCATAGTCTCCGTGGTATGTTGTCAAAGTCTCTGTGGTATGTTGTCAGAGTCTATGTGGTATGTTGTCATAGTCTCCATGGTATGTTGTCAGAGTCTCTGTGGTAGGTTGTCAAGGTATCTGTGGTATGTTGTCATAGTCTCTGTGGTATGTTGTCAAAGTCTCTGTGGTATGTTGTCAGAGTCTATGTGGTATGTTGTCATAGTCTTCGTGGTATGTTGTCAAAGTATCTGTGGTATTTTGTCAGAGTCTATGTGGTATGTTGTCAAAGTCTCTGTGGTATGTTGTCAGAGTCTATGTGGTATGTTGTCAAAGTCACCGTGGTATGTTGTCATAGTCTCCGTGGTATGCTGTCAAAGTCTCCGTGGTATGTTGTCATAGTCTCTTTGGTATGTTGTCAAAGTCTCTGTACAATCTTGTTAAAGTCTCCTTGGTATGTTGTAAATCTCTATAAAATAACAGTTGTAATGTTTATGATGGTATAAAGATGTTTATGATGGTATATAGATGTTTGTGATGGCATATAGATGTTTGTGATGGCATATAGATGTTTATGATGGTATATAGATGTTTGTGATGGTATATAGATGTAAATGATGGTATATAGATGTAAATGATGGTATATAGATGTTTGTGATGGCATATAGATGTTTGTGATGGTATATAGATGTTAATGATGGTATATAGATGTTTATGATGGTATATAGATGTTTATGATTGTATGGTTTTGTATGGTTCTGTTTGCAGGAGAGGTTTGACAAATACTGGGCAATACTGAAGGAACATGGTAAGCAAATATTCTAGGTGCCAGTAGATGCAGATGTTTCAAGCAATTCATTCATTGAAATTTTAATTTCAAACCGCATTTCTTAAATTAGACTTTGAACACTATCCATATAACTAAACCACTCAAAGGATGACATGTACAGCAACTATAATTATTATTCACAGAAAGGGTCTATATGGTCAGTCTTTTAAGACAGGTGGTTCTAATACAGTAAGATAGTTTTTAGCTTATCAGGGCTGAAGGGCCTAGTGTCTGGTCAGCTTATGCGGTCGTCCTCATCCGTAAACAACTTCTTCTGAATAACCAGGAGGTCCAGGGTGATGATATTTGGTCAGTAGAATGTTGGAATGAAAGGTCACCAAGTTTGTTCAAATGAATGACCATTCCACGCATATTCAAGGTCATAGGGGTTAATTGTCTTATAAAAACTTTTAACAACTTCTTCTGAATAACCAAAAGGCAAAGGTATTTGGCCAGTAACATCCGAAGATGAAGGGCTGCCAATTAAGTTATTCAAATTAATGACCTTGGCTTGTATAAGGTCACAGAAGTCAAGTATGAAAAAAAACCTACTTTAAATGACTTGTTCTTAATAAGCAAAAGGCCCAGGGTGATCATATTTAGCCAATAGCATACTGAGATGAAGTTTGTTCAAAGGAATGACCTTCAACCAAAATGAAGGTCATAGAGGTCAATTGTCTTTAAAAATCTTTCAACATTCTTCTGAATAACGTAATTGTTTAGGGCGGTGATATTTGGCCAGTAGCATGCCCTGATGAAGAGCTATCAAGTTTGTTCAGGTCAATGACCTTGAAACACTTTCAAGGTCACATATGGTCAAATGTGTATAAACCTTTAAAAGACATTGTTTCAATTAACAAAACTGTTTGAGGATGGTGATATTTTGACAAGTTGATGCTGGGATGATGGGCTATAAAAACGTTTCGACTTAATTTCCTTGTTTGACATTTAAAAATACATAGATTAAATCTTTCAAAAGATTCTTTTGAATGACTTAGAATCATCATAAGATACTGATACTTTGTATTTTGTATTATAGCTTAACTTTAGTAGACTTTTAATGTTACAAGTGTGAGATCAGGTAAGTGCAGGCACATTGGTCCTCTTGTTAAAGTTAGATTGTGATTAGAGGGTGGTCTTCGTATAATAATATTATTTTTATAGACAGATGGTCATCATATACAAATGTATTTTTATATACTTAAGTTCTTAAAAGACAGATGGTGCCTTTAGAATGATGGTCTTTATAGACAGGTTGTTTTACATAGACTGATAGTCTTCATACATAAGTATTAGTGTTGCCTTTATCTCCACAGACTTGTTACCCAAGGGAGAGAAGCGACTGAGAACAGCTTCATACTTGGATTCTGATGAGTCAGACTTGGAAGAGCTTGAAGAAAGTATGACCTGCGATTTATTGTTCTGTGTCGTAATTATTTTCATTTAAAGAAATATATTTTAGTTCAGGCATTATGAAGATTTCAAATATCCGAAGTTTCACTGAGAAATTTAACAAAGCCAATCCAAAAGATTTAATTACAAGTGAATTTAGAAATGTAAATTGAAATAAATATTTTGTTGTGGCAGATGAAGTATCACATGGATTTGTCGGTTGCCACAACATGTTGAAGGAGACAGGACCTGGGGAGGAGGACAAGGACAGTGACGAGGAGTCACTTCTGTGGACCTTCAGTCCCATTGTACACGCCCTGTCTCCCCTACCTCCATCTCCGGCTCCACCCAGACAGGTAAGTGGGAAGTCGTTGGTAGGAGATTTTAATAACAGGTTCTCTGCCTCTGTGTCTCTGTTCTTCTGTCTGTGAGCAGTAGTTTCTGGAGCATATCTTAAAAAAACTGTTACGATGTTATGTTCAAACTCTATTAGAGAGCAGAGGGGAATCTTTTTGGTGTTTTTGAGGGTCTGATTTAAAACTTTCAGATTGTCATTGAAGTGGAACTTGAAATATGTACATTTTGGTATTTTTTTTAGTTTCCAGAGCATATCTCAAAAATCAGATGAGGTTTTATTAGCTCAAGATGACTCAAGAACTATAAACAATTTCTTCAAGCAACCTCCTCTTAACTGTTGATTTTTTTGCCAAATTTTACTCATTAGATGTTTGGGATTCAAAATTGTAGAAATGGAGGGTCTGTCCAAATGGGGCTGAGCTAGGGGCAGGGTCAAAAAGGGGTAATTTAGCAATATCGATTTAATCAACCATATTTAGTTTAAATAATTTTCAGAAGGTGATGATTAGAATTGTATAGATACTGGTAAATGAGCTCTACCCCCAGGCGTAAAAATTAAAATGATAGGTAAACAAAATTGTTATGCATGAATATGTGTCTTCATTGCAGCAAAATATTGAATTTCCATCGTTGCATATCAGCTGATTGCCAATGATAGTCCGTACCTGTACATGTTATTATCAATCAATATTTCCCAAGGCCTGTAAATACATTTAAACTGTTCTGACCTCTGTGTAGTTTGATTTCCAGTCTTATTTAATATAATGTAAGTTGTAACCCAATTTTCAAAATTTCCAATGAAAACTGCTAACTAATTAAGAAGTGTATTCCCACATCCTGTCCAATGACCAATATGTTATGTCTAATAACAGACTGTTGGGATAGACAGGTTTCATTATATTTGATTTTTTACACAAATTTGTAAGAAATATTGATTCATGGTATCAATTAATCCTAAATTTTGGTTTTTCTCCCTGATTCAAACAGTGTGACTCGCCTGTGGATGGTTTGTCCCAGAGTGATGAAGACGACCAGCTAGCCAAACAACTGGAGGCTGAACTCCTACAACCTAACAGGAAAAAGTTTCAAAAACATATTAAAAATCAAGTAAAAGGCAGGACAGATTCTTCCATCATGAAGAAATCTGTTGAAGGGAGATTACTGCGTCGACAATCAGCAACAGTTAGGGATAGCGAGTCACATTTATCTGACGAAGAAAAGTTGGATGAGACTCTGGTACCAGAGTCTAAAAAACTTCAAGTCCTCAAAGACGATTCAACCTGTAGTCTCAGCAAGGAGGAGGATTTGGTTCGGACATCAGACACTGCCATCCATACCTCGCCGGAGGAAGAGCAAAGTGAAGAAATCATTAGTCCAGGAAGACGGAGAGTTTCAAGTCGGATTGATTCCAACAGTGATAGTGACACTGACGTAAATTCAACAAAAAAAGATTCTGATAGAAAAAAGTCACAGGACCTACAGGAAAAGTCACCCATAAACAGAACATCCACTCAGGTAAAGGAACAAGTCAATTTTAGCAAGAAAAATGCAGCAAGATATTCTCTCCGAAGGTCACCTCGATGTGAGGACGTGATCCCCTTGGGGAAGAGGCTCACAAGGTCAATGAGCTCCCCTCTGAAGGTCAGCCCCAAGGGAAGTAACTCCATCAGGAGACACAGTCCTAGACTTTCATTAAGTAGTGAAATGGATTGTTCAAAACAGGAAGAAGGTTCAACAAAAGATCAGTCTGGTGTAAGTGTTACCCTAAGTAGTCATAAAGGAAACATTAAAACAAAGTTGGACCTAGAAAAATTAAGGAGGGATTATAAAGCAATGCAGTGTTCTCAAATAATTAAAAATACTGCTGAAGATGATGTCAACTCACAATTATACAGACGTTCAAAATCAAAAACTATCTTGCCTACATCTGGTGCTAAAGGAAGGAAAAATGTAGCCACTGCTGATAATGTTTGTGTAGATATAAAACCACCCTCTAGTACCTCTGTCATTGAAAGTTGTAAACAAGGTGAAAATAAGGAAGGAATTGTCTTAAATAATGAAGTTGAAAAAGAGGAGAATAAAAAAAATAGTGAAGCTGGCAGAACTGAGAGACAAAGTGATGTACTGAAAGGTACAAGGGGACAAAACTGTGTCACAGAAGGAACAGCAAAACAAAGTGATGAACTGGAAGGTACAAAGGGACAAAACCATGATGTACTGGAAGGTACAAAGGGACAAAACCATGATACAGATAAAACAGCAAGACAAAGTGATGTACTGGAAGGTACAAAGGGACAAAACCATGATACAGATAAAACAGCAAGACAAAGTGATGTACTGGAAGGTACAAAGGGACAAAACCATGGTACAGAAGTAACAGCAAAACAAAGTTATGTACTGGAAGGTACAAAGGGACAAAACCATGATACAGAAGTAACAGCAAAACAAAGTGAAAGCTCCAAAGGACCAAGTGATAAATTGGAGGGGCAAAGTGATTGTACAGAAAAAGTAAGCGACAACTTAAGAAAAAGTGATGAAACAGATAAAAAGAAAGAGAGAAGTGATCTAACAGAAGTAAAAAGTGATATAAAGATAAATGGAGAAACAGAATCTAGTCAAAGTAAAACACTTGTTGACGGAAATGGTAGCCTATTAGGCGTACCTGGTGTCAATGATGTAGAGGGCGATGCAGGAATTGATGAAACACAGAGGGGCATCATGTCCCGTCAGTCAAGCACAGGATTCATTCTAAAACCTTCGTTCTCAATTGACAGCATGACGGATCAGAATCTTACTCCTCCACAAACTCCTAGTCCCAGGTCTAAGTCGTCTGGAAGCTTAGCATTTGGAGAAGTAACTTTAGAAATGCATTCCTCCGAGTCAGCTTTGTCTTCCATTTCAAAACTTTCTGAAGGTGCTGCGATTGATGAATTAAGATGCAATACAGAAACTATTGGAAATGAATGCAAGTCCGAAATGGAAACTATTGATCAAACTAAGCAAGTCAACAAAATCTCAAAGACGAAAAGTGTGGAAAAATATAGTGAAAATACTGGAGAAGATTATTCCTTAGTCAAAAACAGTTTTCTTCATAAGGGAGACAGTGTGGAATCTTGTGGTGATAACATGACCGCCGAAAATTATCTCAGCAAACCATCTACATCTACCGACACAGAACTGTCATTACCAGTGTACATTCCATTCTCATCTCAACCCCATTCTAGTCAAAACCCACCACCTAGTGTTACCTCGAGCACGGTTATCTCCCCTGAAATGTCTTCTCTGTCGGAAGATGGCAGCATTATGTCAGAACCTATTCAGATAAGTCATAGTTCATCATCATCATTAGTCACTGCATCTCCTGTCTCTCCTTTACCTCCTTCCCCTATAGATTTTATTATCCCCTTTGCCTTGTCCCCCCTTCCCCCCTCCCCTATGCATGAGCAAGATCCATTGTCTCCCCTACCTGGGTCCCCATGGGAAGGGGATACAGAATATACTCCCCTTGTTCGATTTTCTATACGTGAGCCTTCCTCTGAAAATAGTAGCGAGAATACTCCTGTAGTTACACCTGTACCAAACTTCCTTGCTGCCAAGTCAGAATCACCGACCCCCGGGACAAGTGCTCCTGCAGGGGAGAAGGCTGGAGATGCCTTGTGTAGCTTCCATGCTGAGGCCCCCGCTGGTGCTATATATGTGAAGCCAAAAGTAGTTTCTAACAAACGTAGCAGTGATCTAGATGATGCACTTCATTCCAAACCCAAGGTTACCAGGACAGATGTGAAGCAGGTGACAGTAAAACCCAGGTACAGTACATTTCACTTAATATCATGCTGTTTATTGTCACTTTTCACGTAATGTCATATTTTCTGACCAATGAAAAGTGATATTAAGCAGAAATCACTGTAATTGAATATCTTTTCAATGCCTGTATTGGTAACAGAAAAAAACTGTATTTTCTGTGTATGAATATTTTTTTATCTGCACATCATTTATCAATTACAGAATATTTTTTAACGATCAGATGCAAAATTGGTCTAGCTCAATTTTGTTAACTTCTCTCCTCAGTTGTGAGTCAAAACTTGCCAGATGATTATTGAAACTCTGATCATTTCTTTTTATTTACATTCACAATCAGTTTTAGAAATATGATCAACTTTAGATTTATAAATGCAAAGTTTGCTAGAAAAGTAATTTATTTAAAGTAAATGTAAATATCTTTCAGTACCAAAATATAAATTAAATTCATTGTTTAAGTGGAATATTTTAAAATACTGTATTGTGGTTATATTAAATGTAAGTTTTATTTCCATCATATTTGTTACCTCAAAATGTACACGAAAGATAAACAGATATATATACCGTATCAATGGTATTGACTTACTTTTCACAACAGAAGTCTACAAATTTATTTTCAGTAAGAAAATGTTGATATTTTACACCACAAAATTAAAGCACAGTACATGTTATATTATCTATTGGGGCCAGCTTATCAAACTTATACAATTTATATACAGAGGTGAAAAGACAGCAGCAAAGAGAAAAAGTACAAGCAAGCTACCATGTCTTGTGTCAGCGGAGAAAAAACTGGTGAGTACTCCTAAACTGTTAAAGTGATCCTATCTTGTGTCTTTATAAGGTTATTACACAAAGTGATCCTATCTTGTGTCTTTATAAGGTTATTACACAAAGTGATCCTATCTTGTGTCTTTATAAGGTTATTACACAAAGTGATCCTATCTTGTGTCTTTATAAGGTTATTACACAAAGTGATCCTATCTTGTGTCTTTATAAGGTTATTACACAAAGTGATCCTATCTTGTGTCTTTATAAGGTTATTACACAAAGTGATCCTATCTTGTGTCTTTATAAGGTTATTACACAAAGTGATCCTATCTTGTGTCTTTATAAGGTTATTACACAAAGTGATCCTATCTTGTGTCTTTATAAGGTTATTACACAAAGTGATCCTATCTTGTGTCTTTATAAGGTTATTACACAAAGTGATCCTATCTTGTGTCTTTATAAGGTTATTACACAAAGTGATCCTATCTTGTGTCTTTATAAGGTTATTACACAAAGTGATCCTATCTTGTGTCTTTATAAGGTTATTACACAAAGTGATCCTATCTTGTGTCTTTATAAGGTTATTACACAAAGTGATCCTATCTTGTGTCTTTATAAGGTTATTACACAAAGTGATCCTATCTTGTGTCTTTATAAGGTTATTACACAAAGTGATCCTATCTTGTGTCTTTATAAGGTTATTACACAAAGTGATCCTATCTTGTGTCTTTATAAGGTTATTACACAAAGTGATCCTATCTTGTGTCTTTATAAGGTTATTACACAAAGTGATCCTATCTTGTGTCTTTATAAGGTTATTACACAAAGTGATCCTATCTTGTGTCTTTATAAGGTTATTACACAAAGTGATCCTATCTTGTGTCTTTATAAGGTTATTACACAAAGTGATCCTATCTTGTGTCTTTATAAGGTTATTACACAAAGTGATCCTATCTTGTGTCTTTATAAGGTTATTACACAAAGTGATCCTATCTTGTGTCTTTATAAGGTTATTACACAAAGTGATCCTATCTTGTGTCTTTATAAGGTTATTACACAAAGTGATCCTATCTTGTGTCTTTATAAGGTTATTACACAAAGTGATCCTATCTTGTGTCTTTATAAGGTTATTACACAAAGTGATCCTATCTTGTGTCTTTATAAGGTTATTACACAAAGTGATCCTATCTTGTGTCTTTATAAGGTTATTACACAAAGTGATCCTATCTTGTGTCTTTATAAGGTTATTACACAAAGTGATCCTATCTTGTGTCTTTATAAGGTTATTACACAAAGTGATCCTATCTTGTGTCTTTATAAGGTTATTACACAAAGTGATCCTATCTTGTGTCTTTATAAGGTTATTACACAAAGTGATCCTATCTTGTGTCTTTATAAGGTTATTACACAAAGTGATCCTATCTTGTGTCTTTATAAGGTTATTACACAAAGTGATCCTATCTTGTGTCTTTATAAGGTTATTACACAAAGTGATCCTATCTTGTGTCTTTATAAGGTTATTACATAAAGTGATCCTATCTTGTGTCTTTATAAGGTTATTACATAAAGTGATCCTATCTTGTGTCTTTATAAGGCTATTACATAAATTGACCTGACACGATGGGCTTGACTAGGCCTTATTTAGAGAGGTACCAAACTGGTGTTGTTATATTGTCACAGAAATAGAAACCAATCTTGAATAATATGGTATCATATATAACTCCTCGTTATACTGCAACTATTTGCATAGGTGTCAGCCTCTGAAACCTCCAATGAGGGATATCCCCCTCATTCCGAATTTCCAATGACAGAGAAAGTGTGTGAACATGACTGAGACCGCTTTGCTCAAAAATAAAATCCCTTTTCATGTATCAAAATACCTCCAAAAACCCATTAATTTGATTTAGACACATCTGTAATGGTGTCATTACACACACCCTGTAGTAATTAGGAGATCATTTGACCCCAGGATATAAATTTGGGGTTTGTGTGAGTTTGGACTTGAATGAGGGAGTTTCGAGGGAGATTGGTAAATTTTTGTCAGAATGAGGGAGTGCTGACAGCTATGTATTTGTCCAGCCAAATTCTGGCACTATTTAGGTGTTTCACAGTTTATCACAGTAAATCTATGAGGTAGTTAAGAAAAACAGAAAGGAGGTACGTATACTAAATGTTGACAGTAAGGGAGGATGAAAGTTAAGTTAATTAGGGCCCTGTATCGGAGATACGGGTGCCCTATAGTAATCACTCNTAATTAGGGCCCCGTATCGGAGATACGGGTGCCCTATAGTAATCACTCTGTCTGTCTGTCTGTCCGTCCACAAATTTTGTTCCTGGCTGATAACTTTGGTATTTATTGACCGATGTACATGAAACTTGGTCAAGATGTTCAGTTCACAAAAATACACATTGAGGTAAAAAGTCAAGGTCATTAGGTTCAAAGGTCAAGGTCAAATTTTGCATCTTTTCACTGATGAACATTTTGTTATGACATGATGAAGCAAAGTTGATCAGAATTAAACAAGGAGTCAACCTGACCAAATGTCAAGGTCATTGGATCAAAGGTCAAGGTTATATTTTGTATCTTTTCACTGGTGAACATTTTTGTATGACACTTTGAAGCAATGTTGCTCAGAATTAAACAAGGAGTCAATTGACCAAAGGGCAAGGTCACTGGGTCAAAGGTCAAGGTCAAATTTTGTATCTTTTCACTGATGAACATTTTGTTATGACATTATGAAGCAAAGTTGGTCCGTATTTAAAAAGGAGTCAACTGACTTAAGGTCAAGGTCATTTTATGTTATTATGTAGCAAACTTGTTCAGAACTTTACACAGAGTCAACTGACCTTAGGTCCAGGTTACGGGGTCCAAAGGGTCGAGGTCAAGTTTTGTGTTTTTCACTGATGAACATTTTGTTATGATATTATGAAGCAAAGTTGGTCGGAATTAAAGAATAAGTCAACTGACCAAAGATCAGGGTCACTGGGTTAATGGTCAAGGTCATTTGTGTCCAAAGGTCAAAGACAAAGTGGATCTCTGACTTTGACCCTGGCTCTTGATGGAGGATGTATATAAGGTGAAATAAAACAAATCAAAGCTAACAAATGAGTATTGCACCTGTATTTACATTTCTGTTAGCCCAACAAATATGGAGGTGGAAGGAAACAAGACTCACATCATAGTACATGTAAAATGTATATTTTGCTTCCTTGCGATTCTTTTTGAAGTTCAAATGTCAAACGTCAAGCTCAGCTACATGGGCAGATTGCTTCTTGATGATAATGGGAGATATATTGCCACACGACGGGGCCCTTACTGACCTGTCAGTATTCTAGTTTTATTTAGGATTTAATGCATTTTCTAAAACAAAATTGTCTAAATTCAATTTATACACTCACAACACTGTTGTTGAATATATATTTTTTATTTCGTCTTTTTCATTTCTCAAAAATATTCATGCAATACATGGTTTTCTTTTCATGCCCTTTTTATCAAAGCTATAGTGATGCCAGAAAAAGCAATGTCTAATAAAAATGGTGCTTTGTGTATAAATAATACTGTTAGATAGTACATCATGTTAATTACTAGGTTTTAATCCATTTTAGACTGTCTATATTACTGCTGTAACAATACAAATATATACTATTGTCTTTTACAGTGTACAGACATAAAGGCAGATGGTCACCAACCTGAAACGCAGATATCACAAGGGTCAAAGAGGTCACAGAAGTCACCAGAGATCAGTGCTATATTGTTAAATGGTTAGCAAGCTGTACAGTACACTAGTACATTTGAAAGTTTTAATTCAAAATTCATTTAACAAATAATTAAATCATATATGTATATATTAAGGTATTTTCAAATATTTTCACTCCCAAAGTTTTCTATATCTTTATAATAAATATAAACATATTTTGGTTATATTTTTTTTTTTTAAATATGACTGTGATATCTAGTAAGGTGACAGTCAGGTGTTGATGGGTAAGGGCTGGAGGACCTACCAGCTAACCATGATGTATGTTTTCAGTGGTACAGATGGTGATGGAGCAATACGTTGATTCCCCAGAAGTGTCGACATCCAAGGCAGTAGAGTCTCTATTGGCCACAGACAAGGATGAGGTTGTTGTTCTGTCTGCTTGGATACACTGGCTTGTACAGGTAATACAATTAATGGTTTACCTGGTACTGACCAATCATAATGACAATATCTGTTTGTCTTTTATCAACTATCAAAACAAGATTGCACTTGATTATAGAAAGTTTCATGTAGCACAACCAGTGAAGTGTGTATTTGTAACGTTTCGATGACTAGTACCATATGTACTCTGTCACCTTCATTAGGTAAATGTCCGGTGAAGTGTCTGTAAACAAAGGTGTAAAGTATGTCGGAGTAGGTATAAAATTGAAGTCGATATGGCTATACTGAAAGTGTATGTACACCGTTATGCTCTTAGTTCTGTCTACAATCCATACTTACCAACTTGAAAAAAATGTTTAGAAATGAGCTTGCTCTCAATGTTTAAATTGATGCCATCCTCATACCATGTCATGGTTTAACAATATGGATTTTAATGTATTTTGTTCCATGTTTTATTTTAACTTTATATTTTCAAAATATGCTGTGATGCGATTTCAGGAGCATTTAAATTTCCAATATATGTACATTTTATAAAAGAAAAGTATTGGGAGTATGTAATAAATTGTCAATAAAAATGGGTGAATTTTGTTACAAAAAAGTGTCCCCAAAGTCATTCAAAATCTGTATGCTGTTGCAGAAAGAGTTGCTGGATATTGTACGATACTTCATTGAAATAATATTTTTTTTACCATCCATACATTTTATGGTTCCGTAGGAAGTTTGGCCCTCCTTCGTCCAGACTGTACAAGGTGGCCAGAGTCGTAGCTCTAACTGATGGCTAGCTCTAGCTGACAAAAACATTAAACCATTTAATGACAGATTCAGTATATATATACTTTATGGTGATTTTAGCATCTGCTGCACTCCACTGTGGACAGTTTAACCCTCCTCAAGCCAGTCTACGATAGTGACCAGAAACCTACGTCTTACAAGTGTCCATTTCTAGCTGAACAGGAGGCCAGGTTGCTGCAGTTTTACTCAGAATTACAGCAGAGGAGATTGTTGGTAAGTTGTTTTATGAAATAACATGTAACCTCACTTTCTTGATAACTCCTTGAAAGTCTCAGTGTTATTATCTCAATGAAACTGTTGATGCTGTAACTGTAAACTGAGATAAATGAGTCTACAACATAAAATCACGACTATAGGATAACACAGGAGTGTAGTGTACATGTTTTATAATATTTTGGATCTGTTTTTTCCCAGGATGACTTGAAGCAGAAGCTTCTGGATTCCATATGGTGTTCTCTCAGTCTCTCTAACCTCCTACCTGTGACAGGAGCTTCAGCTCTGAGGTAGGTGACAGGAAAGGAAATCCATTTGCATTCATTAATGTCAGTTATATTACACAAATTCGCTCTGTATAGATAAACGATAGATACCTCATTGGTCCTGACACTTGAGTTTATGTATTGAAAGGAACGTTAAGTTTTATGGATTAACTGTTTTTTGAAATTTAACGGACGTTATTCCTGGTTGTTAGCGTATTGGCTACAAAAAGTAATTTCACTGAGAGTCTGCAGGATTAATACATCTCTACTTTAGAGAAAAATATCTTTTAGTTCAATAATATGGTTTTGATGATTGATCAATGCTTAAAAATTCTAAATGATCATATATATTAGGTTGAAGAAAGGTAATACATAATGTACATAAAGATTTTAAATAAGTTTCCATTTCATATGAAATATTTAAAACAAGTGGAGAAGTTTTTCTTTCAATAAGACTGTGTTCAACCTGAAAAGAAAACTTCATGACAAGGTTTATGTTTCTGTCTCGCCATTAATATTTTTTGTTGGGATATTTATTGTGCTTTATATACATTACAAAATGGTACAGACAAATGTCAGTTTACATCTTTTTTCCATGCAACCTTTTGGGGTTCGTTATTACAATCTAATCACAATCATATCTTCTACGTGGCATTTCAGTAAACGGAAGCGATTCACATATATAATTCTAATTAGATTGTCATTAACATTGACGTTGTCTTAGTTTTACATCACTATGGGGGTTATTCAATAAGATAATATACAAAAATGTTTAACCCTTTCACCACTGTGGACAATAATGGACTCCTCCAGATCAATGTATGGTTAAGTTTACTAAAGTTACATAGGGATTAAAGGGTTAATGGGTGTTTTCACTTCAAAACATTGAAGTCACTTGAGAAAGTTTATTGATCGTTTACTTCCAATGATTGATATTTCACTTGCTAAAGAAAACATGAAAAGGAAAACTCCTCAATCTGTATGTCTGATATAACTGTATACTTAATAATACAAATGTGTTGTATTGTTTCAGTCGGATGTACACAGGCGTATGTAGACTAGACGGTAAGCAACATAACACTGTGTTAAAATTCCATTCATTTATAAATATTTCTTTCATCTCTGAAACATTTGAATAGTGGATAAAATTGATGGTAACCCTTGGTACTGTACCTGGTAAATCTATATAACAGTTTACACAAATAAAAACAATAACCTTGAAACACAGACAGATTGTTATGTGTTATTCATTGATATCGTCATCTTTTGAAACTCACTGGAACATTTTGAAAGTGCACATTGAGCTAAGTGTCAGCAGAAAGTTGAAAAAGTAATAAAGGTCACCAGTTGTATCACCGTTAATAGTGTGTCTTATTGAAAGTTCTGCGATGGTTTTCTAACACTCATGTTGAATACAGGTGACGTGGAGTGTGTGCGGGTGATGGTGTTCAAGCTACTCGTGTCCACCAGTCTTCCCTTCCACAGTCTGGGCGTCGCCATCGCAGGGGTGTGGCCCGTGGTCCTGTACAAGGCCAACAAAGGTGAGTTACCCCCCCCCCCCCCCCCCCCCCTTCGTTGCCAATAGATCTTGAGCAGCCTGTGTCGACTATCCACTACATCTTTTCTATGACTCATCTATTGCCATCAGCATTTATTCTGCATGACATAACTTGATGACAAGGAACATATCTGTGTGAACTTATGCCACAGTACTAAATAGTTTTGACTATCATTGGATAAAATTAAAGGCCAATAACACAGAATAAATAGTGAAATAGTGAGCTCAACATAAACCATACTATGAATAAAATTGTTTTACACAAAAAAGAAAATTGTGATGGTAGATAAAACATCACAATTTGTCTTCAAAATGTATTTTTGTGACCTTTAAAATGGTTTTGTATTGTCCCAGCCTTTGAAATGTATGAGTATTTCTACTGTTCTGTGGTAATGAGTTATTTCCTTCCTTGAGAGTTATGATGCCATGTTTTCTTTGTTGTAGATCCTCACTCAGTAGTGACAGTGATAGAACAAAGAATCACCCGTACACTGAACACCGGTAAACAGGACGATGAAAAGGTAAACTGGACTAATATAATTAACATTCATTTTGTTCACTTGTCATGAAATGGTTAATGTTTAATGTAATTCTCCAACAACCACTATAGGTTTCTTCCCTCTCGACTCATTGGATAAACCTGCTAAGAGTAATTGCACATTTTGGTAACCCGCTAGTAGGTAACGCCCTGGGTGCCAGTCCATTCGTCTATCTTCTAATTATGATGTTAAGTAACAATCAGAAACAGGAATAATGTATTCACAAGAAAACCATTTGGTTTTCTAGATATGCTATCTGACCAATGTGGGGGGAGAAGGTTCCCCAACAAGTGACGATGATAATCATGTTTATCTAACTCTTCTTATTAAATTTTTGCATGGAAACATTTGAGATCTCAACCCTGGCATTTTATTCCTTGGTTCATCGCTATGCTATAACCCTACATATGTGGTTGCTGGGCATGAAGATCATGTTACAAGCATAAGCCCTGCTGTTGTCTGGCCCCACCCCTGGAGATTCATATCAAGTACATAACTTTCAATGAAAGGATTTTGCAATTGTTGCTTAGATATAGATATAATGAGTCATACAGGCCCACTGGGCATCTTGTTTTTATTTCATGTTCATACATTTAAGTCAAAAATGGTCTGAGTTTGATAGTTATTTGTCTCAGTTAAAACAAGTATTAAAGTGAAATGGCACTGTGGAAAAAAAGATGCCATTTTCAGCACATACACCGGATGTGGAGGTTTAAGCCAGGTGGCTTAGGACCTGTAGTTAATACCTGCTAAGGCACTCCGAATGTTGATTTCATGAATTTGATATAAGTCCACTGTAAAGCTCCTTAAAGAAATTTATTCTAGCAGGATAGGTCACAATATGAAATAATGTATAATAGTAATGGTATGTTTCAAAGTAACAGTTTTGATATAATTTGTTCATGAGTGTTCATGCATAAAGACCTCTCTTGAAACTACACCTCTGACATTGTGCCTTTCTTGTACTTTTGTGTGAGGCAAGACTTGCTGATGTAACAACTTGTTTGTATTACAGATACTGGAGTGTTACCACCGCCTCTGTAACTGGTGTCGTGTCACTTCCGACAGTCAAATATTGTCAAAACAGCTCCTTTTAGCCATGAGTGCAGAAACCAGGGCAACCAAACCTTGCCAAGGTACTATGGAATATTATTTTTTGCCTCTATTTCATCTTTAGTTGTTTTTACCCTTTAAACAAGGAAGACAATGAACATTTGAAAAAAGTGTGATAACAACATGTGAAGTATATGTGAGAGAGTTCACCACTGCTGTTCGAAAGTCGAAAGGGTGAAAATATTTGTTTCCAGTGCATGCTAATTAATTATTCAATTATATAATTTGAATTAAAAAATATACACATACTCAAAAAAGTGTTTTCTCTCCCAAACAAAAAATTCAACAGCAGGTCGTTCCATTTGTATTCATTTCAAAGCAAAGTTTCAAAACAGACTGGAGCTCCTTTGTAATTGGAACTGAGTAAATGGCCAGTATAAATCTGACTGCTAATGGCCAGTATAAATCTGACCGCTATACACATGGGGCCTGTTCGTTTATAACCGGTATGTCCGTTTTTAAATGTAACAATTTCGGGTATAAATCCAGGCGAACCTGCAAAAGTTTATGCACGCCTTGCAAGGCTCGCCTGAAAGCAGCATCATATTACTAGGTCTGACCTCATTGAGTAATGAACAACTGTGGTTCGACCGGTTCAACTATTTAAACGAAAATGGCCATGTACATGTAGCTGTTAACAAGGGAGACAACTATAATTAATATGTAACTCCATTGAGTAGTACAGTAACTGCTATACACTTGTAGCCACTTACAATAGGGACAACTGTTTAACTCCAGCGAGTCTTAATGATGTTCACATGTAGCTGTTTACAAGGGAGACAACTGTGATATGACTTAATGCTGATCACGTGTAGCTGTTAACAAGGGAGACAACTGTGATATGACTTAATTCTGTTAATGTGTAGCAGTTTACAAGGGAGATAACTGTGATATGACATAATGCTGTTAACATGTAGCTGTTTACAAGGGAGACAACTGTGATATGACTTAATTCTATTAACATGTAGCTGTTTACAAGGGAGATAACTGTGATATAATATAATGCTGATCAGGTGTAGCTGTTAACAAGGGAGACAACTGTGATATGACTTAATGCTGATCACATGTAGCTGTTAACAAGGGAGACAACTGTGATATGACTTAATGCTGATCACGTGTAGCCGTTAACAAGGGAGACAACTGTGATATAACATAATGCTGTTAACATGTAGCTGTTTACATGGGAAACAACTGTGATATGACATAATGCTGTTAACATGTAGCTGTTTACAAGGCAGAATACTGTGATGTGGCAATCTCATCAAAATAATTCTGTATGAATCAATTGGTGGATTGACATTGCATAATGTATTGTTAACTTAGTGACACATATGTACAATGGATTATTACTGATACTTTTCTTTGACAGATTTTTATAATATTTCTATCACTTGGAGCATTTGATCTGCGATAACAAATGCAATTGATTCCTTCAAAAGCTAGCTTCACTTTATGATAAACTACAGTTCTATTTCATTGACAGACAAGATATTCTCACTGATGCGCAGTCTGGAGCTCCTTTTTGTGATGGAACCTATGGAGTTTTTCTTGATCCATGGTGGTTTGAACTATGTCTGCCAGAAATGTACAAAACCTAGAAAAGTGAAGGTTGGAGACTGCCGCGAACAGAACTTTGATCCAGAGTATTCCAAGTGTGTCTTCAGGCTGCTTGGTGAGTTTCTTTGGTTCTTAAATTGTTTAAGATATTGATATTAAGTTATTGATATTAAGTTATTGATATATTAGATGCAGTATTTAGTGAGACATGCATTTTATATTTAGTAGCATTTCATTGTAAGTCACTGTCCTTCAAGTTGTCATGACATCGGAAAACGCATCGTTCATATTGAATGATATTAAATCCCCATATAGAAACATCCACTCTTTTTAAATCACTTCCGACTTAAAACAAATCCACATCATTAACTTCCAACATTACATTTGTGGTGTCACAATGGAAATGATGTCACGAACAAGGCTTTCCTAATTGTTCTGCATTCATAGTGCTGTAAATGCAGCTGGACTTGGGGTAACTACATATAGGTCAAGTGTTAAGAGAATGTTAATATGTTTATTGTGAATATTTATCCAGAATCTCTTTCACATATAATACTTATCAAGATCCTGGTAAATAATTCAGGTGATCTTGAATCAGTTTTGATAAGTTGGTGGAAGTTAAACCATTGGAAGTGTTACAGTTATTCTGTAGATGATATGGATTTGTAACAGACCGATTTAATGTGTCATTATTGTCATTACAGGTTGTGTATTACCCAAGAAACGTGATGCCAGGATAAAAAACATCAACCAAGCTGTAAAAAACTTACAGAAGGTTTTGAAATCTGATGGTAAGGAGTTAAAAGTTATTGTTAAGTGGGTGTGACTTTGTTACTCACATCATGTTACATTTTCTATCACTGTTCTAACTAATATTTGTTGATTTTGATTGGTCCTTTACAGGTGCCTATGATCACGTTGTTGTGAGCTAATGTAGTTTGATAGATGTTAAAGGTGTTAATCACATGCCTGTTCAACTGACATTGTAAATAGAAACGTTAGTGGGTACATGTAGGTACACATCATTGAGTTCACACACCACAAACTGTCCAGTGGATTGTATAGGGCTCTGGAAACCACGTGCACAGTTCTCATTAGAATCTATGTATGGTATTGCTTTTGCTGGGGTCACACATCAGACATGTGGGTGTCATGTATTAATCATGGTGTCCTTCCATCTATCCCTCCACACATTCATTTACTTCAGAATCTAGGAGTCACAAAGTGATCATACACTTGGATATACAAAATGTATGAGGAGTCACAAAGTGATCATACACTTGGATATACAATATGTATGAGGAGTCACAAAGTGATCATACACTTGGATATATACGTAGATGTGCAATAGAAGATCAGGATGTTCTTAATGTCATTGTCAACTTCAGCCAAGGTTATCATTTCTTAAAATAAAACTTGGGAGATTACTGTCAAAAATGTATTTCTCACATATATCTGATCTGTCAATAGATTTACTTTGTTGCTCAAGGTATTTCTTGGATATCCAATGTGAATAATGCAATAATACTAGTAGTGAAGGGGAAAAACGACACAGCTGTTTACAAATTAACGGGTCTAATATTTCCCAGTTAAACACTGTACATGTTTGTTTTTGTTACAGTTTGTGTGGATGTAAAGCACTGTGTGGTGGAGACGTTACTAGAACTCTGTGTCCTCACTCCCAATCTCACCCTGAACGTCCTCCGGGACTGGTACGACACTTACAAATCACACGTACCTCGCTCTCTGCGGCAAAAGATCATCTGGACAAGGGAGACAATGCTGAAGAAATACCCAGTGCTAAAGTGCCCACCTTTCAGGTGATTTGGCTACATCAAGGGACTGTGAAAATCCTTGATGCCAGTTTAAAACTTTCTGTTAAAGAATTCATAATTCATTTGATGAAACTACATAAGTCATTTAAACAATAGTATGAAAAAGAGAGAATCTTCCCACCAGGCTAAGAATTATGTGTCAACAAAATAGTTTGTAAAAGTTAAAACTGAGAAACAACACACAAATGTGTCCTACTACATTTGTATACTGTCTGCTGTACCCAGTGTTAAATCTCAGATTTTCATTAATTGAAAATTGATTGTTAAGAATGCAAAGCATTTTATTATTAGAGAAAATAATTGGATTTATAGGTTGTTAAATGTTCATTTGATGAACACATATATTGTACAGATAATTAGTATAGGTAAGTACGTTTTTAACCCTTTCACCACTATGTAACTTTAGTAGACTCTGCCATGCATTGATATGGATGAGTCCATTATGGTCTACAGTGGTGAAAAGGTTAAGTATATAATGTTAAGATAGCTACTGATGTAATGCTCTGTAGTAGATACCATGTGTTCAGTGAAAATCATTAAATTATTCAAGTGATCATGTAGACCTTGGACTCTGAAATCTAGATGTTTGATATACCCACCAGCATTCATTATGCACACCTAAGACTAGTTGTGTTAGCTGAGTAACTGAGACAATTATTCATTATGCACACCTAAGACTAGTTGTGTTAGCTTAGTAACTGAGACAAATATTCATTATGCACACCTAAGACTAGTTGTATTAGCTGAGTAACTGAGACAATTATTCATTATGCACACCTAAGACTAGTTGTGTTAGCTGAGTAACTGAGACAAATATTCATTATGCACACCTAAGACTAGTTGTGTTAGCTGAGTAACTGAGACAAATATTCATTTTGCACACCTAAGACTAGTTGTGTTAGCTGTGTAACTGAGACAATTATGCATTATGTACACCTAAGACTAGTTGTGTTAGCTGAGTAACTGAGACAAATATTCATTTTGCACACCGAAGACTAGTTGTGTTAGCTGTGTAACTGAGACAATTATTCAATATGCACACCTAAGACTAGTTGTGTTAGCTGAGGAACTGAGACAAATATTCATTTTGCACACCGAAGACTAGTTGTGTTAGCTGTGTAACTGAGACAATTATTCAATATGCACACCTAAGACTAGTTGTGTTAGCTTAGTAACTGAGACAATTATGCATTATGTACACCTAAGACTAGTTGTGTTAGCTGAGTGACTGAGACAAATATTCATTATGCACACCTAAGACTAGTTGTATTAGCTGAGTAACTGAGACAATTATTCGTTATGCACACCTAAGACTAGTTGTGTTAGCTTAGTAACTGAGACAATTATGCATTATGTACACCTAAGACTAGTTGTGTTAGCTAAGTAACTGAGACAAATATTCATTATGCACACCTAAGACTAGTTGTATTAGCTGAGTAACTGAGACAATTATTCATTATGTGCACCTACGACTAGTTGTGTTAGCTGAGTAACTGAGACAATTACTCATTATGTACACCTAAGTCTAGTTGTGTTAGCTGAGTAACTGAGACAATTACTCATTATGTACACCTAAGTCTAGTTGTGTTAGCTGAGTAACTGAGAAAATTATTCAGTGTGCACACCTAAGACTAGTTGTGTTAGCTGAGTAACTGAGACAATTACTCATTATGTACACCTAAGTCTAGTTGTGTTAGCTGAGTAACTGAGAAAATTATTCATTATGTACACCTAAGACTAATTGTGTTAGCTGAGTAACTGAGAAAATTATTCGGTGTGCACACCTAAGACTAGTTGTGTTAGCTAAGTAACTGAGACAATTATTCATTATGTGCACCTAAGACTAGTTGTGTTAGCTAAGTAACTGAGACAATTACTCATTATGTACACCTAAGTCTAGTTGTGTTAGCTGATTAACTGAGAAAATTATTCAGTGTGCACACCTAAGACTAGTTGTGTGCACACCTAAGACTAGTTGTGTTAGCTGAGGAACTGAGACAATTATTCATTATGTACACCTAGGACTAGTTGTGTTAGCTGAGTAACTGAGAAAATTATTCATTATGTACACCTAAGACTAATTGTGTTAGCTGAGTAACTGAGAAAAATATTCATTATGCACACCTAAGACTAGTTGTGTTAGCTGAGGAACTGAGACAATTATGCATTATGTACACCTAAGACTAGTTGTGTTAGCTAAGTAACTGAGACAATTACTCATTATGTACACCTAAGTCTAGTTGTGTTAGCTGATTAACTGAGAAAATTATTCAGTGTGCACACCTAAGACTAGTAGTGTTAGCTGAGTAACTGAGACAATTATTCAGTGTGCACACCTAAGTCTAATTGTGTTAGCTGAGTAACTGAGACAATTATTCAGTGTGCACACCTAAGACTAGTAGTGTTAGCTGAGTAACTGAGACAATTATTCAGTGTGCACACCTAAGACTAGTTGCGTTAGCTGAGTAACTGAGACAATTACTCATTATGCACACCTAAGACTAGTTGTGTTAGCTGAGTAACTGAGACAATTATTCAATATGTACACCTGACAAGTTGTGTTAGCTGAGTAACTGAGACAATGTATAGTTAATTTATCATTTTTGGCAATGTCTCCCTAGCTAGTCACATATGGTAAGCATGTTATCAGAATATATGAAGGGCACGTGGAGAATGATGCTCTGATGTACAAGTTGTATCATTTCAGTGAGATTGCACTTTAAAAAGGGTCCTCCAACTTATGTGGCCCCTCTATCATTGGACCCTGTCGTCATATGACTTCAGCTGTCGTTAGGCCCCATCATGACGTCAGCCATTGTAAGGAATACTCAAACATGCACTGAAGAGTTTAAACTCAATTAAAAGATTTACATGTTCTGACACTTTTTCCGTTTTTCAATTGGAATATTTTATTTATGTATGGCTGACATGTTTGAAAACTTCATTACTTTAATATTAAGATCTCCAGTAGATGCTGAAGCTTTGTACAGCTGGTATGGCTATGGGTGAATACAACAAGCTACGGTTACTGTAAACAGGCATAGTGTCAGCCTGTTTGTGCCAATGTTCTTGGGTCGTGTTCATGAAACCTTTTCATTCACATTAAGATTCTGTGCTCAAGCTCAAACCTTTGTCCAAGTGAAAATGTACTTTTAGAAATAAAACAACTCAAATTATTTCCAGTTTTTTTTTCGCATAAAGGTTTAAAGCTGTCATAATTTCAGCATTCAGTGTTTTCTTTCTTTCTTTTTAGAACTCATTGCACGATCTCTTTGGGTTACAAGAAAATTAAAGTTGGTTTGAGCACATAACTCAATTTTTTTTTTACATGAAAAGGATTTTATTAAGTGGACCTGGGCTTACTACTACATAGTGCTAACTTACATTGTCACTACAAGCATAGCACACCACCTGCTTAACCCTTTCACCACTGTAGACTATATTGGACTCATCCAGATCAATGCATGGTAGAGTCTACTAAAGTTACCTAGGGGTGAAAGGGTTAAAACAAATAATATTGCACCAGTTTTAATCCCAAATGTAATTGCTGAAATTATGTTCTGCTAAAATGGTGTTGTGCTACAATGTTATATATGTAATATGTGCAAACATTACAACAATAATGTGCTAAAATTGCTTAATAGTCGTAAAAACAATATCCTGCTCAAATTAGATTGTGCTAAATTTGTATAATTGTGCTGAAGTGATAAATCTATTTTGCTCATATGTATTGTGTTTAAAACTAAGATCTGTGCTCCAATAGCATTGTGCTAAATTGCTTTTTAAGCTAAAACAATTATTGTGCTGAACTTATAAGCCTACACAAACTTATTTATATGATTATTTTTGCATGGACAATATTGGTGTGAAATTTGATGCTGAAAGGGATATTTAATTGCAAAATGTAACTTTAAGAAAATCAAGTCTGGGCTTATGATTTTTTGAGAAATCAAGCATGATAACGTTTTTGGGCTAACATAGAGTAGAGGGATTCAGCTAAAATGTGAAGGCCTTATATGAATACAATTCTTTGGTTTTAATGTCAGTAAGAACCATTTAGAGAGAAAATGGACAAGGTTCTATGTCAGGTTTGGAAAATTTGGAGAAAAGATGGACATTTGATTTCTTAATGTATGTCATGTATGTTACAAATTAATATATATATATGTACTTTTTAATGCAGAGATTGTGGTGCCTGCTACAGCACATAACTAAATCTTTCAAATGCTTGAAACCTTGCATTGGGGATGATAATTTTCAACCTTTCGTCTGCTTTAAGCCTTTTTCAGAATTTAAATCTTAATTACAACTTCAATGTTATTCCCATAGAAAAGATTTTGAATAACTTTGATCTCTGTTGTGTGTTGTATGATGATTGTTCTCTCTATCAATGCACAGTAAAACACAAGCAAGGTTTGTTTAAGGCCAAATAAAACAATTCTGTGTTCCACTTTCCCCTACCTACACTGGTTTTTAGTGCCTACTATCCCCTAACATTTGTTAATTCTGAACAAGCACTGTTGAAATTCTGCCTCTATTTTGCTTTATAAAAACATTTTACGAAAAAAGGAATTTACCTACCAACACACTAATGTTATGAGAGCTGTAAGCAAAAGAACTTCACATTAGTTTTGTTTGGACCGATGATAGCCATTCACTTTCTTGTTTAATAAACCATTTTCATAGTAATGTACAATTAAGACATTTTGCAGCAAGTATGTTCTATCTTTTTATCCATTCTCATCATATTTTTACACTTTGACATACTCACAGCCATTACAGGGTCATAAGTTATATTTCAATGTTATTTCCTTTTTGAGAATATGTAATGTCTTGTGATTCACAGAATTTGACATTTTTAGATGGCTTTTTGAAATATTATTATTGTACATTATTTGTGGAAAATAACATATATCAGATGCAATGTATACCAGGGCCCCGTTGATCAATGCTTAATGCAAATCTTTCATCATGCATATTTTGAAAATTCAATCAAGTTAGCAATTTATTCT